ATCTTTTCCCATGGAAAAAAATTGAATCTGTTGCAGCAAAGTAGTCCTGACTAACAAGTCAATAGGAATAAATTACCATTTCAAGCTACTACAAGAGTAGAAATGGATAAAAAAACTTACACAGCGCCCGTTGAAATGGACAAGAAGTTTCTTTCTTCTCTAGCACAATGTCCCGACTGAGGAGTTAGCCAACGAATGACATTTGCTAGGCCGACGCAGTTTATTGTAAAATGCTTTTATCGGTACTGTAATGGTGGCGATTGACTTTTTGCATATTGACTGGCCAGTGACCATTATTCATTATGCAATCTTGGGGGTCAGCTGGAATGGCGGTAAAGGTATTGCGCGTGCGTCAGTATGGTGGCGCTTTGACACGCTGAGTATAGTAGTACAGTACTGTACTCTACTACTCAATAGTACGAGTGTACGACGCAAGAGGTTGTAGTATACTGTACGGTCAAGCTAAACGCATTAAGTACGTATACTTCTTGTTCATTTTTCAATTTGAGGGTCACCTTTTCCCTACAGTAGGGTAAGGTATTGCGCGTGCGTCAAAGACAGTGTGGTGGCGCTTAGACACACTGACTAGTAGTACTGTATTCTACTACTGTACTCGATAGTACGACGCAAGAGGTTGTACAGTAGTATACTGTACGGTCAAGCTAAACGCATTAAGTACGTATACTTCTTGTTCATTTTTCAATTTGAGGGTCACCTTTTCCCTACAGTAGGGTAAGGTATTGCGCGTGCGTCAAAGACAGTGTGGTGGCGCTTAGACACACTGACTAGTAGTACTGTATTCTACTACTGTACTCGATAGTACGACGCAAGAGGTTGTACAGTAGTATACTGTACGGTCAAGCTAAACGCATTAAGTACGTATACTTCTTGTTCATTTTTCAATTTGAGGGTCACCTTTTCCCTACAGTAGGGTAAGGTATTGCGCGTGCGTCAAAGACAGTGTGGTGGCGATTTGACGCACTGAGTAGTACAGTAGTACTGTACTCTACTACTCGATAGTACGAGTGTACGACGCAAGAGGTTGTAGTATACTGTACGGTCAAGCTAAACGCATTAAGTACCTATACTTCTTGTTCATTTTTCAATTTGAGGGTCACCTTTTCCCTACAGTAGGGTAAGGTATTGCGCGTGCGTCAAAGACAGTGTGGTGGCGCTTAGACACACTGACTAGTAGTAGTACTGTGGACGTTCGCCAGTTTTAATGAACGAACGTACGAACGTCCAATTTGAACGTCGGACGTTCATTGAACGTACCAACGTACACAGTGTACATACAGTGTTAACACTACAGTATATAGTGTACACTGTACAGTACGGTATAAGACTATACTACTGTATACTGTACAGTACTGTACACTGTACACTGTACAGTACGTACAGCACAGTAGTACAGTACGTAACAGCGTACAGTATACTGTAGTCATGACTCTGAAATACAAAGTGTTGTAAAAGACGTTTGTACTAATGTACTACTGTACTGTACAGTATGTACAGTACTGTACTGTATAGTATTGGGGTGGGATTATACAAACTGACTGTACAGTATACACTGTACTGTACACTGTACACTGTACTGTACAGTACAGTTCGTCGACGTCCGATCTGACAACGAACGTACATACCGAACGTCCAAAATCGAACGTCCGTTGGACGTCCAATCGCTCGACGTCTACAGCACTAACTAGTAGTACTGTATTCTACTACTGTACTCGATAGTACGACGCAAGAGGTTGTACAGTAGTATACTGTACGGTCAAGCTAAACGCATTAAGTACGTATACTTCTTGTTCATTTTTCAATTTGAGGGTCACCTTTTCCCTACAGTAAGGTATTGCGCGTGCGTCAAAGACAGTGTGGTGGCGCTTGGACACACTGATTAGTACAGTACGACGCAAGAGGTTGTACTGTACAGTAGTGTACAGTTCGGTCAAGTTGAACGCAGCCATTTTTCAATTTAAGGGTCACCTTTTCCCACAGTCCAGTCTACAGTACAGCGGACAACTTGAGACAAGGCGAGCTAGCCAACGGGTTACTGACTCACTGTACTGTACTGTACTGTGTACTACTCGATACTACGACGCAAGAACTTGTACTGTACCGTCAAGCTGAACGCTGCCATTTTTCAAGTTGAGGGTCACTATTTTAGCGTCACCTTTGGAGGGTCACCTTTTGCCACAGTACTGTCTACGAGCTAGCCAACGGCTTTGAAAAGATTGAAAAGTTCAATCAAAAGCCTCCCGCTCACAATGGCTTCCTGCCCAAATTATACAGTACTAGTACAAACTCCCGTCGCTTTGCTAACGGTTTACGATAATGTGCTCATTTAACAGATAGTATTACCATTTGATAGACCTGTCCGAGCTTCAGTAACTTTATACCGTGGACGGACTGCCAATGCAAGCTGGCAAGGCGTGAAGGCACATTTCTCATGCAATCAAAACATGATCCTATCCTATTCCTGCATGCTAATGAGCGCTTCCTTAACCAGTCGACAATGCCACTGTTTGACATGAGTAAACGGATCCTACCGTCTCGATCAATATTGAAAATGAAACATTACGAGTAACAAAGAACATGTTCGGCATCAACTGCAGAACGAGACTCGGAACATGCTCGAGCACGATACAAAATCAACCTATCTGGAGAACAGTGGTGTACAGTACAGGAGGAATAGGCAAAGGCTGCATAGGACGACTTGAAGTAAAGCGATTAGCCGCCGACTACTTTGCTAGCCTGCCTAGCCATTTTATTATAATCTTACACCAATACAATTGAAATAACTATACAAAATGATCACGGGCATTGAAATCATTTTTCAACTATTTCTTCATCATAATCATCTTCCATCGACATCCTCCAACCTACCGTACATATATGACTTTGCTCAGTCATTTTCATTTTGACAAACAGAACATTCAATTTTCCACGCCATATTGCCGTTCAAGGTAGTCCGGCTGTACAGTACAATGTACACTACCACCTACAGTACCAGGTATTGTACCACGGTGGAACACCAGCAATACTGTAACTGGTCAATTCAGCAATCACAATCCTGCCGTTGAATGCGAGTGCTGACCAAGGCTACTGCAAAAGCGATAAACTGCCAAATCCGTCCTCGAATCCATTCCATTCTTCAATATTACAGTATTCTAAGAAGCTGAAAGAGATGGCATCCCTACGACCATTCACCTGCAATGACTTATTTAAATTCAATTCTGTGTAAGTCAACGAAATACCTGCAACTGTCAATGTTGGAGAACTAGTTTACATGACCTTGATTGAAAAATTGACGCCCAGCACTCGGTGCAACATGGCCAGTATGCACCATCGAATGATCAACCATGCAGCATGGCTAATGACAGTAAATAGTAATCGAAAAGATAGAAAACTTCATCCATCTTAACCGTCTTCATAGTAGGAGACTGCAAGGAGTAGTCAATCATTCAATCATTAGAATTGACCTTGTGTCATTGCTGTTGTTAACAATTCCTGATTGTCTGAAACCGCACAACATACAGTACACTGGTTTGCATTACTGGAAGCGTAGAACCGAGGATGAGATCGTTCTTGCAGCTCAAACGCTAATTGAGCAATCAGTGGATTGACTTAAGCTTAACCCGCACATCATGCTATGCGAACGATATTTCTTATCATATTACTTGATGACTTATTTTAGTCAGCATCATCGGATTGATCGTGCTCAGTTCAATTGGGGAGTCAAACTAGCTATTGATATGGTAAATAATTCAATCATGCTTTCCGTCAAGCGAGACTTATCCAACAATCAGTACTTGCTGCTCGTTGACAGAGTGACGACCACATCATCGAAATTGCTAATCATTGACGCCCATAGCCTAGACTAATAAACTCGAGATACATGACAGTAATAACTGAAACTGACGATAATTACAGAATAGCATCGACATCTATTGATGAGCGTCAACGCTCAAGGCATGTTGGTAGCATAGCATCCACAAAGCGATCAGGTGCTTTATTTTCGCCTGATCGGATACCTCACTTGATAATACTGTAGTCAGCTAGGACTTGGCAATCTATTGGTAGTCAACGAAAACTACCGCATTTGAATCAAGCTTGATCTTCATCCTCCATGTCATGATGATCCTGTAGTACTAATTACGATACTGTACTATGGGTCTAACGGCTCTAAGTAATCGCTTGGCGCAATACAAAAGGGTTGAACTTCATTGTACAGTTATAAACGCGTTCAAATGATCAATGTCTGATCCTGCATTGATAATACAATTTGAAGTCTTCCTAGAATTTAGATTCTTGATAGGTACTCTTCTTGATCGTATATACTATAAACAAAATATTGAATCGAAACTCTTTTCTTTATTTTTACTTTGTAGCAACCTTGATTCACTCACAGAGACTGTATCCTAACGTCTTAAAGTAGCAGATATCTTAATTATTTTGTCTTATGTATTACATTCCAGTTGATATTATTCTTGAACTAGTTGTTATAGTATAGCATATCATTCTATCTACAGTACTTGGCGAGATGGCCTGAATATTTCCTTGCGGTGGAATCTTGTACCGGCGAAATTATGGGTTATAGTAAGTAGAATTAGAATATTGGATATTACGTGAAGGGATTTATTGCTATACAGAACATCAAAGATGTGGATAACATCAATTGTAATAAGTCGAAAATAATTGACCTAATATTTTTGACTAACGTTATGCCGTAGTTATGGGAAAATCGGAAGGTTCAGTTGAAGCCAAAGAATGGCATGGACATGTAACTGCTTTGAGTGTCAGACCTGAGTCTAGGCGAATAGGAATTGCAGCATTGTTAATGGATGAATTAGAGAAAATATCTGATAAGTATGTTATTTTCTAGTTGATCTCATATACTTTTATGCCATGTCTATGAGTAAGCTTTTTCGCATATATTGGTATTAATACTTACTAGAGTGCATTGCTTTGACCGAAATTTAAACCGGTAGTGATATAACTACTGTATGGTTTTTATTTATTATAGGCAAAAATGTTTCTTTGTCGACCTTTTCGTGCGCGTTTCTAACGTTACAGCTGTCAATATGTATCTGTCTTTGGGATATATTGTTTATCGTACGGTGTTAGAATACTACATTGGAGATGATAATGAAAATGCTTATGGTTAGTGACAATTAGATACATAAAGTAAACAATAAGCTCAATTCAATTTGCTAGAATTAGCTTATGTTATTCCTTTGATAGCTTGGTAGTTTGTGTATATATCTCTTCAAGAGATGTTATTTAGCATTAGAAAGATATAGGAAATGTGAGATAATAACTATCTTCTGCTTTTGTTTATTTCGACATGCTGTAGATATGCGTAAAGCCTGCTCACGAGATAAAGAGAAAAAGTCAATGATTCCTCAGAAGGAACCAGTGTGGCCAGACGCTGTGCTACCGTAATGCCTACTTAAGATAATTTTAATGTTTTCATCCCAATTTGGATTATGGTACTGTCTTTTAGAATATTAAATTTTATGTTAGCTCACATTCAATGCAGGTCAGGGAGACTGATGTTTTTAAGATGATTTTTATCTTGTTACACTATGATGTTACAACGTTATCTCAAACTAATGATCCAAATTAAATTATTAATGTGCTATTTACTGTAAATTGTTACTAATCTGGCGGCACGCCGCACTTATAGTACAATATATCAAAAATATTGATTATCTGTACTTTCTTCATTGATAGTAATGTAAAAAAAGAACGAAATAAAATCGATACTTTTCTTTCCTAACCAAATATACCTATGTCGAAAGTAATCTGATGAGATTTAATCAGTTATAGTACACCTCTATGGAATATAAGGAAATAGATGAGAAATACGCCATTATTTATTTTTATATACTTCTCTTTCCTATCTGAATATACCTATGTCGAAAGCAATTTAATAAGATTTGATCAGTTATATAACATCTCTATGGAAAGGTGACTACTATCATTCTATGGAATATGAGGAAATGCATTACAAATGCACTGTTGTTTGCTTTTACAATTAAGCTGTTGTGCAATCGATAATAGCTGTTAACGTATTGATGAATAGAAAGGTACACTACAAATTAATTTAAATTAAATAACTATTACAGTGTTTAGGGTCAAAGTATCCAAATTCATTTACCCAAACGGAGAAATGATCCATTTTTGAGACGCAATTCATTATTAGCCAAATATCCCAGTTTTTTCCCCGTTTATTACTTACACTTGTAATGAACTATTATAATCGTAAATAATGAAAGATTATCATCACGGTCATTTAATCATTTAATTATCCATATTAATGCATTACGGATATTTGCATAATATTTTAAAAAATAAATCATGCTAATATTATTTAAATTAGCAAATAATTTAGACAGTATAAACGGTAGTACAAATTGTAAAAATTTTTCATGTTTATAACCCTTATTTCCATGATGATAGGCGAATAAGTATACATATGTCAATCGTAAGTACATAATAATAATGCGTTGTCAAAAGGTAGTGAAAGAATATACATTCGTTTCTTATTAATATTTATTCCCTAATATTAACGATGTGAATCTACCTGTAGGATATGATTGGTTTAATAATAATAAAAATAATAAGCAAGTCAAAGTTAGATGTAATTATACATTAATACATTGTGTGACCCGCAGTGCAGTCCGTGAAATCGTCAATTTCCATCCAGATTTACAATAACGATCATTCCGACATTACTTCTATACAATATACATGATAGAAATCTGATATACCCATATGCATGCACATGTACAGTAATATGTACAATATCTATGTAAGTCTACGTACAGCGCAAGCATGCAATACTATGGACATCAGGTATATTGAAAGAGGACTACTAGAGAAAGAGATTGAGAGAATTTTTCTAGGGCAGTCCTTTACTTGAGATTGCCATAGGTAAAAACCTAGTAACTTACGTTGCAGTAATTTTTTGCTGGGGTATGGTGTAACTTATGTATAATCTGGTGCCACTCTGTGCTAATTTATGCAATTCTTTTTGCTTAGCTTCCGTAGTAATGTCATGCTCTGCAAATCTTCTTCTCAACTCATACATAGTATAACGATGGCGTGGCTTAGGCTCAATAAATAAATGAAATCGAATATCATTTCGTGGTATTAATCCAGCTTTTTGGCCTAAAATTGCAATATAAGCATCATCGACTGTCTTGAGTTTTTTCGTTGTTGGAACATGCTTTAAAAAAGTAGCAATTACGTCACCCGACATAACATAGGCAAATCCTGAACAGAAACGGGGGAACAACTTGTGTGGATAATCATCCTTTGAGACATAATATTTATGATTTTTCTTACGAACTACTCTACGTGCAAGTGTTGAACCATCAACTCTACCTATCCAGAATCGAGTAACTCTGTTATTTCGAGCTTGGCCTTGCATGAAATTAAATAATAGGTTTACATTAACGAAGACGTCATCGTCACCTTTATACATATAAATTGGTTTACAAAAGCGATTAGCCCAAGCCATGGACATGATACTTTTCTCAGTTAGGTTTTGCATATGGTCGATAAAGTTCCCTAATATCATATCGCCATATTTCGCAGATTCTTTTTCTACTTCTTTATTTAATCGAGAGTTGGTAGAATAGCCAACAACAAACAACGTCCTCCAAGCGTACTGGTGTTTGGCTTTAGCATTCAATTCAGTATTATCGCCCCATGTTTTTCGTATTCCTATGCGACGTTTAGCATGAGAAGGTTTAGAATTGATCATGAGTAAGATAAAAGCCCTCATTTCGCAAGGCTTCGCACTAGGTCGACCGGAAAAATACTCTAGCCCTATGTCATTGTAATGGCGATAGTTGACAACCAGTTTGGATTTTTCTTCAATAACAGTTTTATTTTCGGATGTACCTTTACTACTAGTAATACGATTGATTGGAATACTTAATGTACTATTATCGACAACATTGGCTCGATTGTCGATAAGTATAATGGAATGATCGGCTCGATCTTCAGATTCTTTCTCATTGCTAGGACGTGATGCGACTTTAATAAAATTTTTAAAACGTGGAAGCATGGAAATGAAGATTAGGACAAAAATGACGGCTATTAGCAACCGTTTCATTCTTATAATCATGGCTACAGTCTTTTTCATTGACTAGTCTAGAAATTCTCTGCAAGCGACCCAATCATGTACTAAATGGATAGATATAAGCTTGCAATAAGCCATCGTTTAAGAATTACTGTTGAAGAAAAACATCTAGAATAGGATGAATTGAAAAAAAGAAATGTTCTTAAGTTTATGCAAGTTATAATATTACGAATAGGTTCTAATGTTAGAAATTAAGACAACATGGATGCGAACAGTCCAGATTGGTCAAGATGAAATTTTCTCAAGCTTCAGATAGTACAACGAAATAGATTCCAATTTCAGCAATAAAATGGATAAAAGATAATGTTGGTGTAAGTAGCATCAATGAGAAAAGTATAATTCTGAATGAGGTTCATGTTTTCTGCTAACACATAGACAAAGAAGTTACCAATAGGTTGTTGCCTAAAAGGAGCAGAATACGCTTAGGTTTCAATTTTAGAAATCAGGACAATATTGATGAGAACAGTCGAGATTGGTCAAGATAAAATTATTCTTCCATTTTTTACGTATATCACGGTATACTGTAGGTTCATTGATCAGCAATAAAATGGCTAAAAGATAATTAATTATCATTGAAGGTATAATAATAATGACGAGGTCTCTATTTTTCCATGGATACCCATGGACGTTGTCTATTGGTTCAAGAAGTTAGCTATAGTTTGTTGTATCACGAATCCCTTTTTAATGCTATAACGAAAGGTACTTTCTTGGCATAGGTTTGTATCTAATACTGCAGGAAAACGACACAAGATACTGTATGTCTGCAAAATATCATTACATATACATGCAACATGATATTGAATAAGAAGTTATCCACTAGTAGAGTAGATGGAGATAAAGTCTTGCGGGACAAATGAGATTATGTTCAAATTCATGGAAATTTCGATTCTACTCGTCTTATAGTAACAGCTCATTTATTGGAGCTATCGTAGGTTATTTGGTCCTAATGGAGTATTTAGTTACGAATGGATGAGAAGAGGTATTGTACGATGCTATATTGTTCGGCTAGACGGGTCTACATAAATATCTATTTCATTCTATTGCGTATAATCTACTGATTAAAGTAAGACTACAGGAATCAAGTTAATTTTACACGTCTAAGTCTATATTGACTTTCTCATCAAGCATATAATACGTAGAGTACAGAATGCATCCAAACGGTCGGATCATTGGGTATAGGCACTTAACCGGTTACGAAAATTCAAGAGTAAAAACATCGATAGGACTAGCAGGTATAGGATATACATTCATGGAATATCAAGTACAGTATCGGTTTTTAATTTCCTGCTGATCTATTTCATTTTCACACTATTTAGTCAATCTTTGACGTTGTATTGGAAGTCCAGTCGAGGTCGACGAGTGGTGATGAGCGAGAAAGCGAAATGGATTGGTTGCAATCAGTGCAAACATTTCATGCTAGCACTACCGAAAAGAAAGTTGCAAGGAAAGGACACAATCGTTCTTGATTTTGGCCTATTTTGCTACCATAGAACCACGCTAGATCAATGACTGATCATGATGCAAGATGGAAGAAACATGCTTCAATTTCAGACATGATCAACGCATGACCACTAGCCTACTGGACAATCTACATCAATAGCCAACTTGTAGTCTACTCGTGCCCATCGATTAAGGCAATATGGGGACGATATCGAGCCATTTAATGATCAGTCTATCGAATAACAGTTGGATAGTGTGTCCTACTCACATTGCAATTGAAAGGAGGAAGCCATCTTGTCAAAAGCTCTCCTTGGCGGCTAGTCTGCGAACTATTGCAGCGACTGTCGCTGGTCAGAATGACTGCAACACCGCTCAACACTGGTGTGGAGTGACCACTTGACTCATTCTGACCATGTTATGTTGTCTCCTATAGTACAAGTACATAGTCTATGACTGATCACTCTCGCTCAGACAGACGGACTTTTCTCAACAAATGAAGCTGTCAATATGGAAAAATGGCTCTAGCTGGTCAGAATGAGTTCAACACAGGCGTGGAGTGACCAGTTGATTCATTCTGACCATATTGTGGTGTCCCCTATTAAAATCTCCAGAACATGACCTTACAGCATACAAAATTTGGAAATAAAGTTTGGACGCATCTTTCATACAGAACTAAATAAGATGTGTCCAGACTTTCCGGACACCCTGAACAGCCACATAGTCTACGACTGATCACTCTCTCTTCAGACAGACGGACTTTTCTCAATAAATGAAGCTGTCAATATAGAAAAATGGCTACATACGATGGATCTTCCGTATCTGTTTTCGAAATCACTGCTACTGATTTCAATCACATGGATGATCTATTTCAAGCAGAGCTTAATAGCAGATAATAACATTCAACCAGCTTAATTAATTGAGAAAAAATCTGTCAATTTCAAATCGACTGTCTTCATACTAAATCACGATTCTAATCAAGTGTGTTGGGCATAAATATTTTGACAAAGACCCAGCATTGCATTCAACCAACTTGGCATGATGCTGTACTGTACACTGTACACTGTACACTGTACACTCTGAAGTGAGCGAATGGCACGGTACGGTACGGAACGGAACAGAACCCTAAGGTTGTCATGTTATAACTGGAACAGGTTATAAACGTTATAACTACCGGAAAAACCAATATCAGCCAGTATCCGCTAGAATTGATCAATATCGTTCCCAAGCAAACTCAAAATATTCCCTTCAATCATTGATTCTTCAGTATTAGAGAGAAGGTTTTGCCCTAAATTGTGAAATATAAAATTGGTTATAAAACCAAAGGTTTTATCTATTTTGTTAACTAATTCAAAGTAAATAACAACAAGTCGTTTTCGACGCCGAGGGAATAGCATCCAAGTCTTGTATGAGAGAGAGACTAGGGCCTGCTAGATACAGTATATTCGACATACAGTACTGTAGGGCCTCCAAAAGGACTACACCGTACACTTTACAGTATCAGATCGCATCCATCCATCCCATTGACTACGCTAGTGGACAACCATGGCGATCAAGTGGATCCATTTATTACTCTTGTTGCTCGTTTTTAGCACCATTTCCAAGGGCAATCATGCTCATCAATGGGTCAAAATGATGCAGTTACAACCTGCTACAAGACGATTCAGTCAAGACACGGTATGTGAATTGTAGATTAGAATCAATCCTTGAAGGAATGACGACATAGCCCCAGTTTGCATGATAGTAGGATAGGAGTACAAGCAATGCATACCATTTTAACGATGCTATCGTGTCAAATAATTCTAGCCATTCCATTCAATTGAACATTCAGTATTCTATACTAAGCTTTCGATCGAATTATGGTCTTTCTCTCATGACCAAATTCATCGATGGATGAAGGAGGATGATGCTCCTTCAAGTCAGCTAGCCATAACAACGTTGAGAAGACCTTTCTAAAACGATGATTTGATGGCGCGACATCGTTGCTATAGCAAAGACCCACAGTTTCCCATCCTGTAATAATAAATACTAGTGATGTATAATCGATCTCCAACAGTAAAAGAGCGAGTGATTCAATGAATCAACGATAATTTTTATACCCGATAAAATGGTGAAGGTATTGATACTGATTGATATAGACAACATAGTGATGAGTGTATCGGTATCTCTAGAATCGGATCGAGTGGATGAGTTTTAGATTTGTATTTTCTCCTATTTGTATATGATAGAGCATAAGAATTGACTGGATCCCTTAATATACTCGATCTATAGAATCTTGACTATTAGTATACGTAGATGAAGGTAGTAAATGCTACTTTAAACCTCAATGTAAAATTTTCATCTCTAATTCTACACTTATACGGGTGTTATTGTGATGATGACTATGCAATAGAAATCTTAATGGACGATTTTTTTTTTTCTTTAGGCTACTCATCATGATCCAATGTTTAAAAACTATCTACAATTTATTAAGGAATATAACAAGAGTTACAATAATATACAAGGTAAGATAGATGACTATGTATTATCCATGAACTGGTGCATTCATCATCAATGCCTTCATTCATGTCTTTATGGTGATATTTACATACAATACTACTGCAGTATAACAGTAGTTTATCCTACCTCTTTCCAGAGGTAATCATACTGTGTTTTACTCGAATATGGCATCGGCTCTAAATTAGTTTTTGCAAGTTAACTAATACGGATCGATGTTGAGTCAATGATCTCTTTACTGTAGTGAATATGACGTGTATTCAATTTGACAATAGTGACAATTCATCTAGTAATGATAAAGGCTAGAATTACTTCTTCATTTCATAATATGGATTGTGAATAGATATTCAAGTTGTATTTAAACTTATCGCAGTACGCATATTGTAGGACAATCGCGTTAACTACTTGATACGGTATCCAATCTTACTGCATAATTCTGATATAAATCCAAGAAAACGAAATGTAACACGCATTAAATTTTCTTAATTCAACAACATTACGATATCGACAGAATTAAACTATCGTTATCAAGTATTTACGAAAAACATGGCTAGAGCTATGCTATTTCAAAAGCATGATAACGCTACCGGACGCTACGGTTTCACCAAGCTTAGTGATTTAACAGGTTAACGATTTCTTTCGCCTAAATTTCACTTTATTCTCGTAACCTTTACAATATCTATTGATGAAGAATAGCATATAAATTACTGTATTATTTTATCTAGATCAAGAAGTTAAATCATTTTATGCTATGAAAAAGTGGCCACAACAACTTTACCCTACTAAAAAAGCAAACATTCCTCAATTAAATTCCCTCCCTCAATCCTTCGATTGGAGAAGTAAAGGTACACGTTAAATTTTTATCATTGCTGCTTTAGTAGATATATTGTAGCTGTATTTACTCGATAAGCGACAAATAGAAAGATGACATGCGCCAATAGCTTCAATATTTTGTTAAATCATGGCTTTTTAGTATGCAATCATACCGAATTGATTTAATAGTGAACCAATTCTCTATTATCTAATACTTTTCGTAGGAGCTGTTACAGCCGTTAAAGATCAGGTAATAAAATTGTTCACCTCGTATAATGATAATAATAGATTCGTTAGTAGGACAGAAGTCAATAGTATTTAATCGACACTATAGCTCTTAATCATTGCCTTAATATAAAGCCTTTCTCTACCCAGTATTTAAGAAATTGTTCATACTGTACTTGTTTGGTATAGTTATAAAGAGTTAGCATCATACGTACAGCCTGTATAATTTTAGATATGTTAATAATTATAGAAACGTTGCGGTGCATGCTGGGCGTTTGCTACTACTGGTAATATTGAGGGTCAATGGTACCTAAATAAAGGCAAATTATACTCATTAAGTGAACAAGAGTTGGTAGATTGCGATAAGATCGATGAAGGTTGCAAAGGAGGGTTACCACTCAATGCGTATCATTCTATCATGAATCGACTGGGAGGCTTGGAAACTGAAAAAGATTACCCTTATGTTGCTAAAAATGGTAAATGCAAGCTCAATAAAAGTGAAGAAGTTGTTTACATTAATTCCTCTGTTAAAGTATCAACGAACGAGACAGGTACAGTGATATCACTATTATGAATCTGTATTACGAGCCTACGAAATAAAATGAAATGGTTTATTGGATTATTATGCAGCTTTCGCAGCATAAAAATTTGATCTTCTATCGTATGATAGATCATTTAAAGCTAACAAACAAAAAATCTTATCATAGATCTTGCTGCTTGGCTTGTTGCACATGGTCCCGTTGCAATTGGAATTAACTCCGTAAACATGCTGGTAAGATGAGATTTTTCTCGCTAAGAATTTTCCTTAATTATAGTAATTTGATACTGCATGTATTATAGTACTATAAAATCAAAGTCAGATTGATGATAATATTAAATAGTTATTTTCAAGGCATCACCAGACTTTTAAATGATTGGCTTGTAATTGTAAAATGAAGGTGATTCTTAATATATGTATGTTTGTGCTACGATACGATTGAAGTGTACAATTTACCTTGTTACTAGCATTACAAAGGAGGAATAGCTCATCCAACAAACAAAGACTGCAATCCGAAATTATTAGATCATGGAGTTTTAATCGTTGGCTATGGTGAAGGTAAGATAATATTGATTCAAATGATGTAATATCTTATAAAATTTGCTGTAGTTTATCGCCATGAATTACAACGATATGTTAACACTCATGATGAATATACTTATTACTAGTGGATATTTATTGTTTCTTTTAATGTAATGTTGTTTTAGAGAAAAGTACACCCTATTGGATAATAAAAAATAGGTTTGTATTGACATGCTAGGCTTATGCTTTTTAATTAAGCTTAATACTGTATATCGATTATACTGCGTTTATATCTCAAGGAATTGAAAATTATAATTAATATAGATTTATAGCCCTTGAGTAATTCTTGTACTGCATTATAATTTATTAATTTATGCTATGTAATTATATTTTAAAGTTGGGGAACCGATTGGGGAGAAAAGGTAAGCATCGCAGTTGAGCTCTCACGTTTACGCCGTAACTGCATAATCATTATAATTCGTATTGTGTATGAACTACTATCATTAGGGTTATTACAGAGTGGTACGTGGCATTGGAGCATGTGGACTGAATAAATCGGCGACATCTGCAATTGTGTACTAAAATGAGTTGTGATGGTAATGGCTCCATATCGAAGACGTAGCAAAATGCAGATTGCAGAAAACCACTCCATTACCTAAATAAAATAAATCGAAAGATTGACTATTTACTGATGTTATATCATTTATTATACCAATCCATAATTCCGATAAAGGAAATCCAATTGTAAACAAGAATTTAGAAGCATTACTAAGGAAATGGATATTGGCAAACGAGAGAAATGGCAATCCATCAGACGCTGTATAAAATATACAATGATGTTTTCACTCTACTTTGTATATAACTAGTTCAATTCACACTTAACCATATGAGTGAGCTGCATCGTTACGAGTTAAATCGGTTTAACGATAGAGAATGAATTAGTATACGCGTAGATTAGGTTATGATGTTGCTACAGTATTAAAAAACAGATATATCGATTTGCTGAGAGCGTGTCCAATATTTCTATAATGCGACATAAATTGCAAAAAAATGTTAGTCGAGATTTCAATCATATTATTTTTGTATCATTTCTACAAGAAAGAAATTTGTAACCTATTTTTTGAGCCATATCTTATATTAGCCAATAGCCGTATTTTATCATCTTCTTTTTCACATTCTTCATATTTTGTTAATAAACTTGAGAATAGTCCGAAAAATATCGATCTTGTTAGTATCTTAATCAAGTGAAGAATTAATCTATTTTAAGCTTACTGGTTAACAGTCGGGTAGACATTTACAATCGCAAATGCCTTATCAGGTGATGCACCACTGATTGGAAGTAATAGTTTAACAAATGCTTCTTTGACAGTCATTTTCTGATTTGCAAGTGTACAGTACATAAAATAATGTCAATTGCATAGATAATAACTGCTCAACAGTAATTACTTATAATTTTGTTATATTACCTTGTTCTTCACGAATCTTTTATTAAACATTTCGAACGTAGGTAAGTAATCATCAGCATAGGCTACATCACATTGATCTGCTGCACAGTATAAAGTTTTACCCTAGAGCAAAGGAGTATATAATATCTCGTAATAAATATTGGGTTGTAACAATACCATAAGTTAGCTGAATCATGAATATATTAACCCGATACATATGTTGAAGACTTTTCGTAAGAGCGGCAATAAATTCGGCCGTTTCTTTCCAACTTTGAGTAACCCAAACAGCAAAGTCGTCTACAACCTAAAGTTAACAAAATGATTAAAGCATATCGACGTAAAGTTTCACGTAAATCCAATAAAACTTTATTCATACGCGAGTATTTAGTATTGCTTGATGTAATCTGGATATTGGTATACCGACACCAGAACTATTAGAATTTTCAGCTACGTAGAAAATTTTATTCATTTCACACTTCCCGAGCCGAAACTGTTAAGTAATGAGAATGATAAACAAGTACATTTTACATTTAAATCAAGAAAAAATTTAGTAATACCAGGGTTTACTTACCTAATTTCTTACAGTAAGTTCTAAATGTAGGTACTATTCATCATTTACCTTTTGCTCATGATATCTGCCGTCTTTAATGCTAGAACCGAGATCATCCATACTTTTCCTTTCAACAATACAGTCTATTACAAGTTCCCTATCACCTTGTATAGGGTATATATGACATTGAAGATGAAAGAGCAATTGATAAATTAATATTACTACTTTGCTAATATCTAATACATATTCAACGCCAGCATACTATTTTTATCTTTCGCTACCCAAAGAAAGTCGCCAAGATGTAATTTGCGTTTGTCGTAGATAAAGTCTGTAAAAATTTGTTACTAAACGTTATAACAAATTGATAAAAAGATTCGTTTACAAATTAAGTGTAAACAAGATACTACCGCAAGTATCGAAAAAACCTCCAAAATCAATTGTGGTACTTCTCCTGGAGATTAAATCAAATTTACATAAATAAAATTTATTTTAAGGTTCCATGCAATATTTTATGACAGAACAGCTGCTGTACCCGCTCATTTCTTGATTATCAACACATAAGCAGATCCTATAGTCGTCTAAGTAATTAATTTTTTGGAAAGACAATAACGAAGGATTTAAGTACAGAAGTTATTAAGACAGGGTTATTTAGCGATATTCAACTATGCAAGCATAGAATATAATTGATACAAACATACCAGGCTGAAGCTTAAATGCACATTTTCTCGAAGACGTTGTAGTTTCCCTAGATCCAAATTCTACAGCACGTGAATCTATGAATGAGGTCACAAATTAGTCATCAACATAGTAAAATAATGAAGGCTTGCTAAGATATATACTGTAGATAGAAGTGGTATCCGCTAAATCTGTATCAACTTGGTGAATTTATATCTCGTACAGTGAGCCTGACATACCATATGTAGAATCGCGTGGCAGATTGCATAATTCACGTGGCGGATTGCATAATTCACTAGCGTAATCATGATGGAGGTAGGCAATAATGAATTCGCTATCGCTTTATTTTATAAACAGGAGTTAGTTTGACGGAGAAAAAATGACAGTATCCTCACTGTAATAGCAGTATCTAATCATCTCTCTATCATAATAAACAAGTAAACCTATACACATCTGTTCAATTGAGGAATGAGTAACAATGTCAAACTGCAACTTACTTGGACTGATCTTGATTTTCATCAAGGCGATATTTTACCTTTGATGAAACAAGTTGACTAAATGTAGTTTTGATAGTATATAATTTTTGCCCTGCATCTGTTGCAACAAAATAGGACATGGTCGTTTAAGTAACTATACACGCATAATAGCAATTACTGGAAATTAAGTTTCAACTAGATTAACTTTAAGCCCATAGACCGCAGTAAGCAAATAAAAAGCATGAAGCCTACTTATGCACTCTACATCTATATGTCATTTATCGTATAGATAATTGGTCATTTTGTAAAATAACCGAGCCGTTTGCAAAATGACAAATTCTGCAGTTGTATCGAGTGTGCAGACGACGTTATTATAAAGACATACCATTAAAAATGAGTTTAGATTTCTTTCTTGCCATAACGGTATTCTTATTCTCATCAATATACCAATATTTCAAGCTTGAATTTTTATTAAAATATAAGCTTACATTAGTTGGGCGTACGCCAACTACTTTCTAGATAGCAGTGCTTCAATTGCATGTTTAAGCTGAAGAGATGAAATGCTAATAATCTGTAATATAGTATATCTCATTTTAATAACTGGGCAATGAAACGTAGGGACTAATATTAAAATATACACTTGTCTCAAACTTGATAAACTCGAAATATACTGCACTACTGCACTAGAAATATATACAGAACCTAGAGTGATATGTAGTAAGTTTGCCTAACTTTATTTCATTGGAGGAGTAATGAGAGACAGTAATTTCTCTTGCTATACATCCACACTCCCTGATTTTAGATCAAGTCACAGCTTCTTTAATATTTTTATTTACCTGGTGTAAAAGTCATCTAGATTAATGGGACAACTTTTACGTGCTGTATTGCGATGCTTGCGACCTGAGGATTGATCAATTCCGGTACTGAAGAGGATTTCATCGCTACTGGTACTCGCTAAGTCTTGGTTTGCATTATCATCGTCCGGTTCAACGCTTGTTTTTCGATCAGCTCTTCTTTGCCGTGCTGTGTCTGCCTTCTTTTTCTAAATAATAATAAGTATAGCTGTGTTATATTGCATTTTCCTTTCTTTTACATCACCTATAATAATGTTTAGAGTAGAATTGACAATTTAAGCTTAAATCTACAACTTGACACTTACTAGAGGTTGCTTGGTCTGAGTCTTGCTAGGACGATTGCTTTTAGATATTGGACGCTGTTTGGCACTGGTTTTTGGTATAGGTGGTGTCGCTTTCTTTACTGGATTTACAGAATGAGTAGGAAGTGTATCTAGATGCAAGAATTAACAACAATCTCTAACTTACTTAAAAATTAGCAATACATGCTAGGAAAACAAAGTTGAAGACGAAATATTGATACATTACTACTGCGATTAGATGCTTTGCATTGGATTGATTTATGCCATCATGAATAGCAAGCATAAGACGTATTACGACCGGTAAAGATTATACTAGATCACTTACTGCCTTCGTCCAGATATTGCTGTAATTTTTCGCCAAGGCTTTTGCATAGCTTAACTCCGAAATTTTGCAGTTGCTTCAACGCATGGACATCGGTAATAGGTGGCGGGTATGATGATAATGATTTAATAGCCTATGGTAATTCAATCAATAGCAAACTTCAATTTAGACCATCGAATTCGATTAGCTGTGCGCAATCTTAGCAGTCAACTGTAAAACTCCAATTTACTGCCTGTAGTTTGTAAACAACTATACTGGGTAGCATTTGGAAAAAGAAGAATTTGATTTTGCATAGAGATTTGGAGTATAATTTATAATTAGCACTTGCTAATCCTAAGCTATTCGATATCTCAACCTTTGATCCAGCTTTCACTACTATACTGCGCAGAGTTGAGCTCAATTTACCGAATCATCTGCATAACAACATGTCGAACAGGTATCATCGGCAAGGAATTAAAAATCATGTTTTCAAGGCTCTGCATATGGACAAAGACTAACATAGAATGGATAAATTAACCGGCTAAAGCACCATAGAAAATTTGAAGCAATTGGAATGGTAATTAAAACTACAACATCGGACGTGACAATATCTTCCATTTTCGAATGTCTGCCGCTGTTATATGTGAACTTTCTCGATGGGCCATTGCAGGGAACGTCTGACTGCTTGACAAACAACTGGCCGAATCACCTCTAGGTCTACACCGTATAATCCACTAAGCCATTAATGCTACAGGCTAACTTTTTACCTTTTTATATACAAATCGCATCTTCGAATCTTTATCACTAGCATCCTGATACCATTCTCTTAACCATCTTAGAAAGAGTTTGTTGGCACTTTTGTCTTCGGCCATGTTATCAAATCCAAATTGAATTTTTGCTACTCAAATCAATCACTGTTAGCATCCGTATTGCTTCCCAAGCAGCAATACAATGTAAAGGTTGATAGAATAGCCTTAACGAGGGTTAACTGATCAAGGAACTGATTAATTTTCTGCTCTTTACACTAATGACGATCAAAATTTTGCTAAATTTGATCCTTCCTGGTAGTTTGTTTTCGATACTATGGAATAGAAATAAGCGCGAGGAAAGGCAAATTGGACGAGAGAAGAGGAAAATGCCACTTCTGCAACGGATTCGTACTGTATTTGTATGTGTTACAGACATGTGTTTGGGTTGGGCTATAGCGGACCACCGCTGCAGCTACTATAGTAAGCTATGCAAGCGCGAAATAGGTGTACAATCCGAGTGTAGTATGATACCTATTAATGAAGCTCGTGAATCAGTACCAATACTATAATTTGTATAGAATTCTGAAAAAGGACCCCTATTAATGCCTTTAATTTAACGATCATGGCTGACAGTCTTCCTTTCTGGATATTTTAGGCTAGATAGCATCGGTAGTAAATCTAGAAGGATTTATTTTATGGTTTGTTACAAATGGAGTGCAAAACCGGCATTCAGCTGTTGTTTGTTTTCATCATGATATAACGTACATATATCATTTAGATATAACTAAGAAGTGGCCACAGCTGCTTCTACCTAACTTTCCAGCGCAGAGCTCTGCAAAACATGCCAAATAATAAGGCAACCTAACAATTGAGACTCTTTAACCTGCTTGCCAGCTATCTATTGAGCTCAGATACTGGACGCATATTGGAATGCTATTGCATGACCATAGTAATATAAATTCGTATGCTATTACAGACTTGTTGGCTTTTGCATAAATTGCAATAAGTTTAGTAATCTGTAGCAAGCCATCGACAAGTGTATAGCTTAAAATACGGGAACAGTTCTATTAATAATAGCTTCGATGGCTATTAATACTTAGTACAAATAGTCCAGAACGCAACAGTTCTATTAGTTTTGTAAACTAATAATTTGGTATGTGTACGCGTATAATGTAAAACACATATATATAATTCATAAAATTGAATACTGCTAAGGAGCACATATTCTATACAAACATTCTTCCTGTTGCTAACAAAGAATGATCAAAATCACTTGCCTAGGACCAGCTAACTAGTTTTTAGCATGCAGTACTTGTTCGAGACAGAAGAGCAGTGTCTTAATTGACATTTCGTTATATATACGCATATGTACGTGGATGTCACTTTAACGGTATTAAGTTATGGCAAGAGAATAAATATTTTTAAATGTCAATCAACCTATGAATAATAGGTACATTTATTTTTAATTTCAAACACCAATGACTATAATTTTACTATAGTCAAGATCTCATATCTAAATGCTAGATTATAGGGACTAGGGGGCAGCTTAAAGCCTCATCGAGGAAATTTGTAGTTAACTTTAAAGATTGTGTATCAGATATTTCGTTTCGTTCTAGCTAGTGGAAAGTCGTTTCTTTGTCTACAGAAAAGTATCCATTTACCTGCTGTTTAATACGAGAATCCGCTAATATAATCAAACTCAATAACTTTAAAATGTTATATATGGACAATAAATATACATCACACATTTACAATATACGATAAACGGGCATGTTGTGGTTGACGACATGTTTGCTATAGGGTGAAAGCCAGTATTTGACATTGCAGTATTCCTGAATCGAAGAAAGACTTAACGTGGAACTGGGGTTAGCAGTGGTTTACCATCCAAGACAGCCAAGACGTTGTTAACCGCTAAACTGGCCATTTCCGTTCTTGTTTCCATGGTATTACTACCGATGTGTGGCAAAACAACTAAGAAATATGTAAATTATAAGTATACTCCAGAGGTTCTATATGCTTATTAATGTAATTACCGCAGTTATTTAAGGTCAGTAATGGATCATCTTTCGCCATTGGTTCCGGGTCAGTTACATCAAGTCCAGCACCCTTTTATACATTTAATTATTATAAAATTATATTTACTCCAATAGCGAACAATGTTAGTTGTAGTAATTCAATTAGATTAAACTTACCTTGATGGCTCCGGAGACTAGTGCTTGGTATAAATCTTTCTGGTTGATCACGCCGCCCCTAATAAAAGTTGTGACAGAAACGTTTTTTTAATTTCTTTAAATCCCTATTAAGCAAAAATTTTATTCAATACTATTCATAGTGCACACGGTTACAAATTATCCGATACTTGGAAGAGATAGTTATTAAATTGTGGATATAATTTCATAAGAAAATCTTGACATCTCAATCCGCTTTATTTCCTTTGTATACTACTAGTGATTGCCTTAATAGTTTACCTAGCAGCATTAACAAGAACGCAATTGTTCTTCATTTTTGCAAATGCTTTCTCGTTAAAAAGGCCTAAAGAAAGTAAAATTACATTAGTTAATAGCACATTGCAAACTAACTAAATCTTAGATTAAATCTACTATCTCTACAGTCTGAAAAATTACCCGCTGTCTCCGGTGTTAATGCGCAATTGATGATTATGAAATCACAGCTTTTTAAGAGATCTTCAATTTCAACTAATCAATGCAAAATAATAATTAGTAATGGTACAAGAATTAGATTTCCATTGAAAATACCCTATTACCTCTCTCGGCACCAAATTTAGAGGCTGTTTGAACAAAATTTCAATTAGTTTTTGATATGAAAATTATACATTAGTCGCTACAGTTAACTCTCATATAGGCAATTTTACTTAAATGTGAAGGTAAGAAAAGAAAATTAGATAATAATTTGGAATTAAAACACAAACCTTGAGGTACCTCTACGATATCAGTATAGTAAAATTGTTTTACTCCAAAACACTGTAAGCGTGTAGCGATAGCGATACCTACAGTAAATATCATTCATACGGTATAGACAAGCGTAAATTAGTGACATGTAAGTACGCAGTTAGCATTTTCTTTAGAATCAAGATGGTAATCGAAGGTAAAATTAAAATAATTGAGTATCGTTATCTGCATGTACCGATTCGTCCAAGGCCAAAAATACCAACAGTACTGCCTCGTAGTTCGGTTCCACACATCCAAAGTAAACCCCAACTTTTCCAATCACCACTAATAAAATAAAGCAAGTTGTAATAGCCGGATTAGAATCTTATTAGCTCTAATTTATTGTAATCTATAAGGACTAACTTTTTTACAGCATTAGCACACTCCATAAGACGCCTGGACGTGGCCAAAAGTAAGGCTACGGTTAATTCAGCCTGTCAAGATAGAAAACGTCTTTATTCATTTCTGACAATTAAGGGTAAACTCAAGTCATCGTGTTAATAAAATTGAACACTTACTACTGCGTCTGTTGACACTCTTGGGGTGTTACTGACAACGATATTCCTAGTTTCAAAGACGGAAGTTTGGTGATACAAATATAATTAACGATCATTAAACGCTAATTTAGAGACATTTTCAGACTTTTTATATTTTATCGAATTTTATCTGCACACAAAGCTCAAATATTAATACCATACTATGTATAATTCTACGAGTATTACGATGAAAAATTTTAAACCGTAAAGTATTATTCATTCTTTAATATACAATATTCAAAATAAATACTGAACAACACACTTATTATGAAGATGTTGAATCCTTTCATTTCTATTTATTCACTTACTAAAAAGCAAAGCCTTTATATATTTAAAGATATTAATACCTCTTTTTACATTCATCCAAATCAATATGGTCAAAACCAACTGAAACAGTAGCGATAACCTTTAAACTTGGACCTATTGTATCATAAAATAGAGTAAAAACGTTATCAGATACATCTGGCCAATCTCATAGCCTAACAATCCATGTAATGACAATTATGCAATTTAGTGTTATACATGCTAAATAAAAATAAATTACCTCCTACATTTTTATCAATAAAATTGTATGTATCCAAAGTGATTATGAATATATCGTAACAGCAGGTAATAAATTAGCATTCATCCTAATGCAGAGATGGTACCAATACAGTATTAACTGCGTATACTTGTTAAATGATTTAATTTAGTATCATGCTTGCCTGCTGCATCTAGGACATCTTTGTCAACTTTATCCGTCAGCATACAAATGAGTGCATCGCATCCTGGAATATTGTCTAATAATTCTTGTCTTGGTATAGCATCATCAGTACTTCTCATGACGACGTTGATGCTACATAAAGTAAACCATTAACAAATCCATTTAATGGCTGGATATATAAAAGACTTGAAATTATACTGTACATTGCTTAAAAAAATTTTTAATTTCTTTCCTTTAGACAAAAATGTTAAACGCAACCTCTCAATAAATGGCTTGACGTTTTGAATACACTTTAATCATTACGGAGATGAAAGGAAACGGCAAAAAACGTGGAAACGTAGAGAGTTCAATCGTAAGCTTAAAGAATTCGTTTTGATTGATTTGCAAAGCGAATGCAGCTAATTCATCTATCTAGAATGCCATCACTGTATGTGCGTGCGGACCCATGTTAACAATAACTGTTTATTTTAAGCATTTGTGATAAGGTGTCTTCAAATAATAAAACAACAACTACAGTTTCTTGTAAATTTTACTTTACTACATAAACTAGGTTCGTCTTACAACCACCAAGGACTATACTGTATTCTTAATTTTAATCTGAAGCTAAATTAGGGCTGAATTACAGTATTCAAGGAACATCATGAATTCTTATGATAGCAGCGATAGCTAGGAAATATTCAAACGATAATAACACCATGAATTGCACTGTACTCTAAATCGAACGTAATTGCAGTATACTATGCTGTAATGTATTGGGAAATGAATCAAATGATAACCTTCGATTCATTACGAAGGAAATGGCATTGATCTGATTGAACGAGTTTACAACAACGGAATTGAGGTTTAGATTCATAATGTCATGAATTGTACTACATGTACTCCATGTATATCGAACGTAATTATATTAAGAAATAAAAAATCAAATGATAACCGTAGGATGATCACGAAGGAAATGGCATTAATCTCATTAAAGGAGTTAACAAGAACGGAATTGATGTTTTGGACTCATGAGCAGATCAGTACGGAAGTGTAGGTTTACAATTTGTATTTGAAGCTTTCTCTTTTAAGGAAAGAAAAATTGCAATTGTTAAGTCATGCTAGTGTTGTTCCTAGCGAGGATATTCAGCTCTTGAACTATTATAAACAGATACAATGCTGCATAAAAGTACATTAACTGCCGTTGTTACGACTGCTACTTCATCTTGGTCATGATCAGAAATCGTGAGCATTCAGGATGGAGTCTGGTTAGCGTAACATAGCAACTCAATGAATCCTAACGGATGTCTTTCACAACTATTATAGCTGCAACGGAAATAGAAATTTTCTCCTCGATGCAGTACTACAGCTTCAAGTCCAGGATCTAATTGATAACTTATGAAACGCTCTACTACACTAAGTAAATCGATAAGGAAATGATATTACGTATTCAATATGACATAGTATATCAAGATTTACAGTATAAATCATCATTTATTAATACGTAAAATATATAATTCTACGCTTATTAATGAATTAGCTTTTGTCTATTTTTCCTATCAGAAAAATCAAATAATATCCGAATATAAACAATGCTAGTTCCCCTTATAGCGATCATCAGAGTGATCTGATGCCTTTATGTTATCCTCACTGAAGGCATTACTGCCAACTGGATATAAAAATAAACTAAGCTAAAATTCGAGGACTCATTTAGAGCATACCCTGGACCTCTTCTCATTGAACCAATTCGCCATCGTCAACATGTTCATCAAGTTGATTGACCTTGATTTTTTTTTAATCACCTTTGGCTCATTTTTTATCACTCACTAGCATACTACTGATGAATACGGTGATAGAACACGAAAATAAGACTCCAATTCAACTTGTTTGAGCAAGCAAGTAAGTAAGAAGAAAAGATAGCGAGCATTAAAAATTATCTATCCTCCTCTTCTAGTCTCAATCTTACCCATCTTTCTGCAATAGGCGAGCACTATCCTCAGGCAAACATCTCGTAACATAGACTCGAGTCATTCTTAGCGTAGTTCAATAGGAGAATCTGGTTGTCCAAACAATTGCAAAATACTGGAAAGCGATTTCACTTGAAGTCCTTGCGATTTCTTTTCCCTCTCGACAACTTTATATCCACCTTCAATCCGTAATTGGATGCTAAACTGCCGGATGCAAAGTAATCAGCTGAGATGCTACCGGCAATTTTATTTGGGGTGTGAGTGTTTTTTTGGATGGCGATCGACTTCCATGTAGACAACTACTACGCAAACCGATGTCGATTTCCATACGAATATCTATTCGGTTGATCGCGTTCATATTATCCTATCAAATGAAAAGTTCTATTAAAGTGGATTGGCGTACGTGACTTGTATGACGTCAGAGCAAGAAAACAAAAGAACAAAAGCCAGGAGGTTACCAATCACCAATCAATGCCCGCTAGCTCTCTACCGTTAACCGCAGGCGTTGCGAGCTAGTGCATCTGTTACCGCTTTTATTCAAAAACATCCAACATAGACGAGGTCTTTCCACAAGTTTTTCTCGAGCTATTGCAACCCACTTTTGCAAGACAGAAACTGCTTCTAAAAGCCAGTTGAGCACAGACACCAGTCTTTGTTAAGATCAAAACTAGAACTCTGTATATATGAAAGTTAATACGGACCTACAACATCAGCTGTCTGTCTATCCTTCGATCTAAATTAGTATAATTAAGCTTAACTTGAAATATGTTAGAGCACGCACACTGCATGAGATTAAACATGATTACAACACGATCTGACCTTTGCGCTATCAGATAGGACCTATCTACAATAATGTACAGTAACTAACAATCAAAATGTATGCAATAACTAAACTCGTTGCGATACCAGTACAGTACCTCGACAAAGAGCCTAGAATGGATTCGAGAGGAAAACGAAGCTGTTGGTGTTCTACTCTACAGCACAACCAACTGACAAAAGACATGACTTATCCTATACAGTTTCAATGATCTATCTATAAGACATTATTCTACAATGTAAGGCAGGGACAATGCCGAGAGGTTAGTCTAAGCCCTTCTACCAGCTTTCTTCCCAAGTTTTCCTCTAGCTTAGAATAGATTAGAGAGGAAAGCAACGTCGTAGAGGATAGTGAAGTAGTTGGATGTTCTACTACACAGCACAACTAACTGACAAAAGACAAGACCTATCCTATATATGATACCTTCAATGGTCTATCTACAAGATATTATTGTATTATGTGTGATCTACCAGCTCTCTTCGCAAGTTTTCCTCTAGCTTACAGTAGAATAGATTCGAGAGGAAAATGAAGCTGCGGGATCTTCTATTAGACAACGAGCCGACAAAAGACAAGACTTGCCTTAGAGCAATACAGCTTCAATGGTTCAACTACAAGATATCATTCTGCAGCAAGTGGTAAGAATAAAGCCGAGAATACTACAGAGCGCTACTACCAGATCTGTCCACCAGTTTTCCTCTACCCTAGATGGATAAACCGTAATTAGCTTTATATAGTGCTATACTGTACTATAGTAAGATTCACTCTAATGGCTGAAAAAATTTGTAATGACCATTCCGACTTTATGAATAATCATAAGTATGATTCAATATAAAATAAGTACATAAAGTGACTGATGCAGAAAACGGTATCCCGGACATGCTCACAGCGTAAACTATATATTTATTCAGTATCTTATAATAAATTTCAGTCATTCATCATGCGATGATACTAAACGTAAACCATTAGACGACTACAAACACAGCACTACTGCCAGATCTCTCCACCAGTTTTCTTCTACCTTAGATGGATAAACCGTAATTAGCTTTATATAATGCTGTACCGTACTATAGTAAGATTCACTCTAATGGCTGAAAAAATTCGTAATAACCATTCCGACTTTATGAATAACGATAGTATGATTCAATGTAAAATAAGTACATAAAGTGACTGACGCAGAAAACAGTATCCCTGACATTCTCATACAGTAAACTATATATTTATTCAGTATCTTATAACAAATTTCAGTCATTCATCATGCGATGACACTAAACGTAAATCATTAGACGACTACAAATACACTTGTCGAAGTAAGTGTTCAGTGATCTTGCCTTTAATAGTAATTATTGAGTTATTGTAAATCCATCAATTAACATTACTCAATTTTCAGAGTAAAGATTATATTATATTAATTACAGACAGAATATGCATCGATTAGAGCAATTATTACGCATATTTATCGTCAATAATTAATTCTATTAGATTAGAGAGGACTGAATCATCAAGCTATATTGTTTTAAATAAATATTAAACGATTTGTGACTATTGATAAATTAAATTTACGTATATGTCACATCATTACAGATCCAGAAATTTCACATTTCCGGAATTATGAATAAATAAAACACAAATTGCAAATACTACGGATGTAGCACCTCACTATATATATGATCATTACATTGGTAGGAATTTTAATAAACGTTACATAACATTCTCATCTTTTAGGAGAAGATCTCACAACATATTAGTTATCAGTTGGACTTCAACATTAGCGTAAATTGAATAATATAACTATTTGCTGTTAAGATATGTTCTTCATTGATGTCGGTAATATTCAGAACTTCTACTACCTAATTGATTGATTAATCATTTAAATAGAAATAGAGTTTTTGAACGTATTTTCGATGAAAATGATGCTATAATAGGAATAGGAATGGTCAAAACTAAAAATCCAAGAACTACGGCAAGTGTACCAACAATCTTTATATCATCGAAAAACAAATTTTCGTAATAAACATCGATTAGTGCATTAATAGGAATGGCTAAAAGCGGGCCCATCGACATGTATATGGGATAGGTTATACCTATTCCCACAATCAGAATAATAGTATAACATAAAATCACTAGCAGTGTTAACAAAAATGGAATTAAAGGAAAATTATCGGCCGTAACGACTTCAATTTTAGTTAATATTAATACTACTACGGGAATCCAGTATACTAGACACATTTGAAGGCTCAAAATACTCAAAAAGAAAGATGATTGTACTATAGTTGCTTGTCCAATTATCTTTTTCGTGAACACCTTTAAACGAAATAGTACAAGAGGTTAATAAATGCCAAGACATCATCATTGATCCGTTACAATGGAAAAAAATAGCAATATTTAACTCGATGTTTGTTCTTCTGAGTGCACACGAGTGCAATTCATAATTTATCCTTACGCGAAAAAATGATGAAAAGATTGCATTTCCAGTAGCCAAAGCAATACCGATACTTCCATAAGATCCAAAACCTTCAGAATAGGCTATTAAAATGACACCAGCTACTGACGTTAAGACAGCGAGCATCTATTAAAGCAGCGATATGTAAAAATAATAGTTATTTCAAAATGCGGAGAAAAATTCTGTTTTGTTAAATATATACGTACAGATATCATGAAGTAATTATCTTGTGGCTATTTTACAAGTTTACTTTATTAAAATTCAATATGATCAATACTTTGATCGTATAAGTTCAACAAACGTTCTTTAATGTTCAGTAGTTAACAAATTTTTAATTATTATATTTACCCGCAAAACTAGGAACGGCTCTTTCAGCCATATTAATGATAAAATATAAACGAAAGCAGCAGAGGCAGCAGTCACGGCCGTTACATTAGTTGCAGAGGTCAGTGAAAGGGCATAATAATTGCAATATGTTCCCACTACGGATACCATCGTCAATGGAAATATTTTCTTCATAACATTTAAGATTGACAGCCGACCCTTGCCAAAAGTTTGACATCCCTCTCTATAAATTTGTAGTAATTATTTGTTATTTTAAAATGTAGCTATACAACTATCCAGTACTATTATGTATTGCACAAAGTAAGTCATTTTAATTAGTCTTCATTTAGATACATAACGGTAATAAACATGAGATAGTATTCCGCTATAGCATGTAAATAAATGTTGTATTATAACTTAATCTTGATTAACGTTACCTGTATAGGTCTTTATGCGTGTGACCAAAAAATGTCATTATTGTCGCTACTGTAGGATAAACAACGATTGCCGTTGATCTTGAAGCCCTTATGTTATTAATGATCATTAATCAGATTATTAAATATGGTAATTACAGCCTAATAGTACTTTGCCTACGCAATTTAAAGAGCACTTGTGGTAAATAAGACCTTGTAGACTTAGTATGCATTAAGGTAGTTATTAACTAAACCTATAACAATAATTTTACTGCTGATATACTGCATAAAAATTTTGACTATAGTTATACTATTTATTATATCATTATCCCATAGTTATTTGACACCATTTGATAATAACATATTCTTGAATATCGTAGCAATATTTACCATACAACTAGTGACGTCGCAGTGAAATTGCCATTAGTATATAAGTTTCTACCAAATTGAGCCATTCCTGATCGACAAAGAGCAAGACCCAATACCAGACATATACCTGTTATAGTCTTACGATAACTAGATTGATTTGGGAATCTACTGATTTCTTCGTTATTAGGTGCTATAAAAGATATTAATTATAATGAATCAGCGTAGGAACTGTATCCGATTAGTTAATGCGTATAATTGAGCAATCAAGCTAGTTTATGGTAGTCATTCCAAAATATTTATTAACTCCTGTCCGAGTATGCATAGTAACTAAATTATGATTGTTATGTACATAAACTATTATTTTACACGTTGCTTACTCCGAGAGTAGCTTGTAAATCAGTTCTTTTTATTAGGCAACTTGTGCTTATACCCTTTCGCTAATAACATAACATGTCATCATGATACGTGAATTTCAATGGCTATATTTAGGCTATGATCTAAGCTATGCTATTTCATATAGTAAATTCTTTTACATCCATGTTAAGGATTACAGAACGATTACGTATATATTAATATTAAATATTATTTACTCATTTAATTTTACCTTACAATTAGAATCACTTATTTTTAATACTGTACATATTAAAGATTTATTTTAATGTATAAGCAATTTTTTTCCGTTTATTACCAGATCTATTGCATTGAGATTCGATAGCTGCATCATAGCTCCTACACGATTCTTGGTCAATGTTGGCTTTCATTTTTCTGTATAGATACAAAGTGATAGATAATCTATTTAGCAAGCAACATTTAATTATCCTCTACATTGTAGCATGTTGTCAGAACGCGCTTGCACCATACTAGCTTGGATTTAATAATAAAATTCTTTTCTAACTTATTATATTGCTTGTGATATAGATCATGAATAAATATCAATGTACACCATTTCTTTACGATATTATTTAAGTATTCAAGTTCAAGTTGATCTGTTATTTTACGTACATAAGGTGTATTACAAATGCAAAGGCCATTAAAAAGACTCTAATCAATTACAGTGCTATGTATTAAATCCGTATGAGTTTACTGCAATTATGCCGAAACGACATCATAGACTATTTAGACTAAAAGTATTACATGGGTGTCATAATAAATTACAGCATTCATGAATCATGATGAAATGGTTAGCCGTATCAGAGCCAAGTAGGAGATCTTTTCTTAATTAAGCGAGCGTTTTGTAATGATATCCTAATTAAAGCCACAGCTTATAGGAATAATTATTAGCTAACAGTTCAGTTCATTTTGAAATTATTTCATGGCATTAAGGAACATGCATTTGTATCTTGGCTTCAAAATGCGATATAAATACAGTCATGGTTTAGGCTACTTTACAGTTATTAAATGTAAATAGCTAGAGCTAAGATTCATGAGCTACTGGTAAAATATAGTACAAATTATGACGTAAACGTTTTCGTAGTACGAAGATTTTAATCCTTTAGTTACACCTAGCAACAAAATAACAAAATATAACGGTATAGCGAAATTATATTAGTACCGTACTAGGAATAAATTACTCATGGATGGGCATCAAATATATAAGAGATAGTACTAATATCTATTATAACAAATATTTTTGGGAATCAGAAAACATGGTGGATTAATAACGCCCTTTATCGATTACAGCAATAGCTGGTGTAAGCTTTACTGATGTTTAAATAATCCTACGAACTGTATATTGTAAATACCTTCAAATCAATTTGCAAGGATGGCAACTGAGTAGCTTACAAAGCAATTACGTTTTAAATTGAGTATTTATTTTAGATGTAAAATAATTTAAAAAGTACCTGAAGCGGCTGGTCGTCCTAATTGTACAGATTTCTAGAGGAAGAGTAAATCGATCGTTTCCGAAATTTTCTCGAATAGTAATTAATGTATCGCATTCAGGTTTACTCTGATCAGCTTAGGGTAACTCATCGATAAGATAGAACGATAATAAAGAATAATTATAATATTGAGCAGGAAATATTATAAATTATTATCTTTTACGGGGCTGTACATTTATATCAGTAACGTGTCCAAAAATAAACGAGTTACAAGTCTTTTTGCAGAGAGTTATGGATTCTCTATGATGTCAGAATCTTAACTAATACAAGTGGTCCAACCAAAAGTATTTTTTCAGCTAATAAAGAATTTATGAGCAGTAGACCATATTAATAGATCATAAGATCATGATTGCATCATGATAGACTAAAATAACTCAGTTTTTTCCCTTTATCTTTATGGCTTTTCTTGCTTTATGCTTGTTCATGCTTGCGTAGACATATTATGATAGACTTTGACCAAGACATGAAATATTACATCATGTAAAATATTTCTTATATTATGTAGTATGCTCTTGCGCGTTTGCAGTACATGGCATTGTGCACATGCCCACACATACGCGTATGCTGCCTGCGGCATAGACAAAGTTCATAAATAGACTCAAAAAGACAGTAAATATGTAAATGTAACCCTAACATATATACACTTATTTAAATAATTTAATTTAGTAATTAATACGCAGACAAACTGAACTTCAATTTAATTGAATCAGCGCTTTATATTAAAATAGCCTATACGTACACTAGCTATAGCTATAGTAATAGATATTTGATCTATTTAATATGGGTATAATATGGTATATGGCTGTACTATGAATTAATATCATAGTTATGCAGTAGCTATATTGTATAGAGATATTGTATATTTACCATAAGTGTGCATATTAATTATGATCAAAACCTGATTCGGTCAATCTTCAGATTGACTAAAGGGCTAGTGAATCCCAGGTTTAACACTATTTTACCGCATGTATCATATATTATTCGCCAATTTTGCGTTATATGACATACGCACATCAGTAATGCCTATAGGTAGTGTCTATTATAGGCTTTACCTTGGAACTGATGAATAGTTTAATCATGGCAAAACTAGTGCAAATCCATTTAGAAATTTTACTACTGTTTATCATCGTCTAATTGTTAATCTTACCCAGACGAGCTTTCTGTTGCAGTAAAGGTCTTCTACTGTATTTTCCATCCTATGCACTATGCAACTACCTAGTGCAGTAGTTATTCCAATAATATCCATTGCATTTTAGTCATTTTCAGAGAGTGATACCTATTATAGCTTAACCTAGGAACTGATGGATATTATAGTCATACCAGTACTAGTGTAGATCCATCAAGAAATTTTACTCAAGTCCTTTATCATCAACTTATTGTTAAATTCTATCCAATAGGCTAGTTGCTGTAGTTAAGGTTTTACGTAGATTGTTGATCTATTTTACCATCTCATACAGATCTTGCTAGCGATTGGGATAAGAATTATATCACATTGTAGTCACTTTCACAAAATTATACCCTTATTAAGGCCATTGAATAAAAACTGATCGATAATGATGTATTGTAAATTATTCAAGATGTTTTGCCCTAATCATTTATTGCTAAGTGACTATCGCGAACTAATGATGATCTTATTTATGTCAGATAACATACTTTGGTCTCATGTTAAGAATACGGTTATCTATGGCGTTATGCATTCTTTTGTAGATAAATGCCTAATTTATTTATAATATTATCTAAGCGCTGATGATCAATATTTAAGTAGAATTACTACAAGTCGACTGATTCTTCAATAGAGTTTGTGTTTAGTCTTGTCCATGAGAGAGTAGCAGGGTTACTATTCCCCCAGACGATAGCAAATCGTTAGTATTTAGATTCGTACTGTATATGGGTGTCGGGAAAGATAAGCCTGGTAGCAGACTTGCAGTTTAGTTTTCTGTAATAGTTTAATTTTCTCACCTTATAAATTTCCATTGTTACATTATTGCTATTAAGCAGGGGCTACCTAACTAAGATTACCCTCTCCGAAATTTTGGAGGGGAAATCTTAGTTGTGTAGTCCCTGTATTAACATACAACAGATGCTTTGTATAGCAAAATATGCGAAAGCAGCTAGTACAGTATCAACTCTATATACAGTAGAAGGCGAGCAGTGATTGTCATCATCTTATGCTAGATGTTCTGCTAATAAAGTCTCTTAACGAATCCATTTTGTGCCCCTCATCCATCTCATCAAATCTTCAACATTCACATATCACTTAATACCGTAATAAATAAACTAAATAAAACTCCTTTGCTGGAAGCCCTCAATAGATTAAGAAAGTAGTAGTGTCCTAGAATAAGATATCATATAAAAATCACAGTATGCATACTGTATTCTGCGGTATTCTTCAAATATAGTAGAGCAGCGAAAATAATGATAAAAGTTATTGTTCAATGGCTTTGGATAATCTCTGCACTCGTTAGCATGTATTCAAATTCAACTTTGATTTAAATAGCCCATATACAGAACCTCCTAGGATTTTATTGGCAATAAACTGACAAAAAAATTCTAATTCAGGTTCGATACCTATGATCAATGTAATCAAAATGTCTATGGCAAGCTAGAATTATATAATTGAATGTTGTTTATTTAAAGAGAACGATCGTTCAATTTTAAATGAAGTTACAGCTGGCGTTTCAATTTAATATCGTAACAACCGAAGATTGTTGACATATCCGATCTGCTGATTAGAAATTCTTGTAGTTGCAATATAGTACCGTAGCTAATGAAGCAAAAATAATTTCAAAACTTCAACAATAGACGTAAAATTATTTAGAACAGCTGTGTGTTTTTTTCCATCTCAATAAAAATTGTATCTTTTGTTTTTGATAGGAGAGTTAAATATTTCTACTGGTAAATTAATAATAGGAAGATTTGCCAATTTATCCTTTGGAGACTGTAAGTTTGCAGTAGTTTTATACTATATAAAATCCCTTACAATCAAAATTTTAGCGTAGCATCACTAGAATGTACTTGAGGCAAATAAGGCGAATTGGTTAATTAACCAATTACTAGAAATGCGCGTTACTTTCCTCTATGTTACTACTATCAGTATACAGTAGAATAGACTTCTTCAATAAAGCACCTAGACAGATTTGTGTAATGGCGATGACACAGAAGAAAGAAGCTATAGAAATAAAACCGAGCAATGATGTGGCTCCTGTCAGCAGGGATAATGATGAGCAAAATTCAAATAAAAATGAGATTCATCTTCCTTGTCTTACGGCATCATCACGCGAAAATAATGTAGATAAAGAATGTGATAAAAATTACGCGAAAGATAATGGTATGAAATGGGTGACCATCACTGCCAGCCCAATAATGACCGCTATAAAACCTATTTAAGGATATTAAAGGCATTTGGCTTATATTATTCGATCCTAGATCAAACCAACACCAGCGATCCGTATCATAATAAGCACTCTGCTTCTACCTATAAGTTAATAAATTGCCCATTAGAAAGGAAACAAATTAATAACATTGTCTTCATTTTTCAACGAATCTATGCCATGGTAATTTGTATTTTATTATGGTTTAATGCTGTAAGATTATGGCCTAGTCTTTCCAATTATACCAATACATCCTCGATGACATTGATGGTGATGTGTGGTTTATGGAATCTTCATATCGCTGGCAATGCATCCTTTTACTTTTATATGTGTCATCACAAGATGGTCAAATTCTTTAAGCAAATCAGTTGTAAACATGTTAATGAGCATTCAGGATTTTTAGATAGTGTTGGGCGTTATGCTAGAAGACGATGTATCATTTACCTGATTCCAGCAACAATCTTTGCCTCATTAAATATAGCATTTCCAATATTTGTTCATTTATCTTCATTTAATGACTTAAAATCAGTAATGAGCATCATAGCCAGTCCTTGGGAAAATTCGACAATCTTTCTTTACTTTTATATATCTTCCATTCACTTCTATTGCACCGCAGCATGGATCTATCCCACAGTTTTATTCTGTTTATGTTGTTTAATCATGGCTGAAAAATTTCGCAATTTAACCAGATGCTTTAGAACGGCAGTTCAAATGGGCAATAGCAGTATTAATCGAGCTATAATAACTTATCGACAACAACACGAAGATTACTGTACTACAACAGAATTACTCTCCGATACTTTTTCTTTATTTGTAGCTCATTTATACCTTACAAATCTTGCCCATGCCTGTTTCAACACATACCGCCTAATATTTAACTGGAACGATAATGGTTTCTGGATGAATATGGTCTTGACGATGTGGCTAGCTATTACTACTGGTAACACTATCATCGTTTCAGGGGCAGCTTCCATTCTTAATACAGAGGTACAACATGGCTATGTAGTATGAACATTAGTGAAATGATGAGCTTTCAAAGAAATAATTTGCTTTTATTATCACTAAATTCATATTGGATATGTAATAATTCAAATTACCATATCTAGAAATTCGTTCAGAAAGTGCTCAAAGGCAGTACAAATTTTTCAAAATAACATACTTTTGTTGCGCAGTATTTTATTCTACAGGACTATGTTTAATACTATGTTTATTAATATATACGCATAGGCACATTCTTCTAATTCTATATTATATTCCCTACAAGTTGCTAACGTCAATAATGATGGATTGGCAGAGGTAAGTTATTATTTACTATACTAGATTTCCATCTCATGATAAATTCGATGCAATACTACTGAAATATCATCGCCTGTTATTGTATGAACATTATGGAATGATCAACTAATATTGCTAAGAGAATAATTAATAGATGTAACATCTAAGGTATTTTATCTCTGAAATTATTTCAACATTTAAAACATTTATTGTTTAATATATTATTGAATGTATTCATGTTCAATGATTTTATAAATGGGAGGAAGAATTTTCACCCGTAGAAGGCGGTATTTACAGTGGGTTAATACAATTGAATTGATCAGAAAATAAATTGAGATATTTATTATCGTACAATAGCAAGATATATTAACGTTTAATGATTTCATAAATGGTAAAAAAGAATTTTTACCTACAGAAGACAGCATTTGCAGTAGATTAATACAGTTGAATTGATCAGAAAATAAATTGCGACATTTATTAGCGTATAATGGCAAGAAAATGAAAGTCTAAAATTTAGTTATTATTATATGTTTAAGAGTATATGACATTTACAATTGTACGCAAATAACTTAAGATATTAGCTATTCATTTACACTATAGAGATTCCTTCACGCATAGTAGTAACTTCTTAAAACGCGTTAAGAAAGGAATTCTTTGAAAATGATATAATAAAGTTTTAACTTCTTTGCAGTTATCCCTATTTCAATCTCGCCTTTTAGGTGGGCCTATCGGTATCAGCGTTGGTGGATTCTTCGTCATTACAAAGCCTTTGATTTTAACGGTAATTTTAGTTTCTTAAAATTATTATATCGTAATAATTTAAGTTTTATATATATTGAAACTTGTAGTTTCTTACTTAGTACTAGTTATAATGCCATACGACTTGTTGCCTTGTTTTCATAGTCCATGAGACATTGATATTCAAGTCTGTATTTACCAAATGATCAACCTGGACAATTTTACTAAACTTAAATCGATATAGAGCACCTACATATCGGTGTTTATTTAATGAATTTTATCGTATTACTAATTATGTAATCACATATTAGTAATATTCGATACTGCAGCAGCAGCTCTACATAGCTGCATAATATAAACTGTAATTATGTGTATAACAAATAGTCTTCGTGATCGACTAAACTAGACTATTAGATTACTTATTCACTCCAGTACTACTGGAGATCTAACGTGTGATAGTACTAGACTACTTGAGTGACACACAACCAATCAACTCTCGAACTGAGTATTCGCTCGCCTATTTATACCCTTCCACAGAATTTGTGGTGCACAGTTAACAATTTTCTTATGCAAGATTTACTTGATTGCTATAGGAGATTCAATATCAATAAACTATACTGTTTACCATAAGTATGTATTAGTAAACAAATTTAATTAACAATAACTAATTAGGAGCCAATTAAAGGCTCAAGGCTCAGCACAGTAATTACACGTTCACTGCAGGTACCAAGTAGCCGCCATTATTAATACTCTACATGAGTTCAAGACACAATTAAGTCTTTATGATCTAAGGTTACTCATTATTAGTATTCTTAAATTAAATTATCAACTTCTAATATTTAGCCCAATAATAATTTAATAACAAAGTTTAGTCAATTAACAAGTACGGTGATTTGCTCCATAACAATGTGATATAGCATCTTAGCAGTGACTTAAAGCACCAGAAAAATTTTTTAGACTTAGTTAGTCTATTATGCCAGGAAATAAAGACTTCTACATTGTTAATGTTATTTGTAGATATAATTATGCACTGAGTAAAACATCAATTACTCGTAATATTATCAGAAATCTCATTTATATACATGATGTGCGAGTTAGTCTAGTATGAGTATATACCCGTATGTATAAATAACATATTTCTAGATATATATGTTATACAAGTGAACTATGGTATCACTACTTATTTATAATGAAGTAAAATAAATAATGCGTACAACAATTCTTTAGTTGTTGAATATTTGGCTCTGTTTAATGTAATTTTCGCCTTAATTTAACAGACCCTCTTTTAATGAAATGATAATAATCTTTACTTCTCTTTTTCCTTAGTTGATAGGTATCTTCATTACCTACTTCTTTCTTCTGGCTCAAATAAATGGAAAAGCCTAGGTGGGCTGCATTTGTTGTATTAAACTTAAGGAAAAACCTTAAGCTAAAAACTGTACTTGAAGAGAAATTTAAAGATTTAAATGTGCTTTACGACCGTAAAGAGAAATAGCTGCATCCATTTGAGTACGAAGTTCATACTGTATAGAACTTACAATTAAGTTCTAATTATCGGTGTACATGCAGAAATTAAAGTAGACAAATTCATAAATTAAAATAATTAAGCTATATAACCGATACAGAAACGACATCTTACTAGTTAATAGAAAATGCATCTCCAAATTCTGCATCATCTGTCTGTACAATGAAATTAAGATTTTATTCTATAGCTAAAGCTCATTTCCGTCAATACTGAGAGACTGTGTAATCATAGGGCTACAGAATAATTGATACAATTAGAGCTAAAAAAAGATATGGGAGATCTTCACTTCATATACGGGATGAATGAATATAAAGGTACGGCCGAAAATGAGCAGACATACACGTATTACACTCTCCAATAAGTATTACTTATTAGCCAGTTATGCAAATTGTCGTAAGTTTGATCATTCCATCGATTATAAGGAATCGTTTATCTTCGACGAAAAATTGATATCTAGCCTCGTTTCGTAGTATGAAGCAGAAGCAGATTAACTATAATACTATTATAAATAGCTTCTGTGCAGTATCATTCTCTCTACAGGCTGAAAAGTTTCTAGTAACCATTTTGATCTCTTGCATGATAGTACGTTTGATCCAATACTAAAGGAGTACATGAAGTAACTGACGTAGAAAGCAATTTCCTGTGATATTCGTAATGTAAAACTACGTATTTATGTAACATCCTATATTAACGCCTGCTACACTTTATGGGATGATACTGAAAGAAATCATTAGATGATTGTAAATACACTAATCAAAGTAATTTTCAATGATTCTGCCTTTAATGGTAATCATTTAACCAATGTCAGTCTATTCGTTAGCGTATTTAAAATTTTCGGAGCTAAGAAATGTATGAATTAGAGACAGAATATGTATCGATTAGAGACTTTTATTACGCATATCTTTATTTAATAATTTTTAAAATATTAGATTAAACAGGACTGAATCATCAAGTCATATTGCTTTAAATAAATTTCGAATGATTTATGACTATTGATAAATTAATTTTGCACACATATCATATCGTTACAGATAAGAAATTTCACAATTCTAGAATTATTAATAAGTAAAATATAAATTAAAAATACTGCCAATGCAGCATCTTAATTTACAGTAGTCAATTACGGTAAAGCTTTTAATTAATATCCTTTAAAATAATTCCTATCTTTCTTTCAGAAAAGGATCTCAGAAATGTATAAAGTAATCGCTTAGGCTTGAACATTGGAGTTAATTAAATGTTTGCTTTAAATATGTTGTGCATTGACGTTGATGATAATTATATCCTCTGCTGCTTAGTTAATCGATTAATTAGTTAAATAGAAATAGCATTTTTGAACGTATTTTCGATGAAAAAGATGCTACAATAGGAATAGGTATAGTTAAAATTAGAAATCCAAGAACTACAGCAAGTGTACCGACAATCTTCATAGGACCAAAAAACAAATTTTCGTAAAAAACATCAATTAGTGCATTTATAGGAATGGCTAAAAGTGGGCCCATCGATATGTATATGGGATAAGTTAAACCTATTCCCACAACAAGTAAAGAAATATAAGCTAAAATTGCAATTAATGTTAATAAGAATGGAATTAAAGGAAAATTGTCGGGTGTAACAACTTCAACTCTAGTTGATATTAGTATCACTATTGGGATCCAATATATTAGAAACATTTGAAGGCCCAAAATACTTAAATAAAACGACGATTGTATTACAGTAGCTTTTCCAATTACCTTTTTTGTGAAAACCTTTAAAATAAAACATTTACCAATAGTTAATAAATGCCAGTATATCATTATTAATCCGCTATAACAGAAGAGATAACGATATTGAATTGAATGTTTGTTCTTTCTATGTATTGATACCAGTGCAGTCCGTAATATACTTACACGAAAAAAAGATGTTATAATTGCGTTTGCGGCAGCTAAAGCAATACCGATACTTCCAAATGATCCAAAACCTTCAGAATAGGCTATCAAAATGACACCAGCTATTGACATAAATACAGCAAGCATCTAATATAACAATGTACAGTATTGTTAGTAAATGTACAAAATCACTTTAAAAGATGGGAAAAATTCAGGTTCGTTATACATATGTGTTTACACATCATGAAATAATCATCACATAGCTATTCTATGCATTTAAGTTATTAAGATTCAGCATAATTAATACTTTAACCCCAATGATATAAATTCATCAAACGTTTTTTTAATGTTCAGTAGTTAACGAATTTTCACTTGTTATATTTACCCGCAAAACTAGGAACGGCTCTTTCAACCATATTAATGATAAAATATAAACGAAAGCAGCAGAGGTAGCAGTTACAGCAGTTACATTAGTTGCAGAGGTCAGTGAAAGGGCATAATAATTGCAATATGTTCCCATTATTGTTATTATCGTCAATGGAAATATTTTCTTTATTGGATCTTTGATTGATAAATGATTCTTGCCAAAAATTTGACATCCCTCTCTATAAATTTGCAGCAATTATTGGCATTTTAAAAATAAAATTACATAATTTTACCCGCTACATTTGTTTACAATACAGGATAATGCATTTTAAGCTTCACTTAATCACTTTATGGTAATAAATATTACACAGGGTTCTGTTATAGCATGTAAATAAACCCAGTATTTATTGTAGCTTATCATGATTAACGTTACCTGTATAGGTCATTATAGGTATGACCAAAACACGTCATTATCGTTGCTACCATAGGAAAAACCAGAATTGCTGTTGATCTTGAAGCCCTTATTTAATTCATGATCATTAATCGGATTAAGGATATGGTAGTGTCACGAATGACTTTTCCTACAAAATACTTATCATACTTTCGTCAGATAACACTCCGCTATCTATGACGCTATTTATACATTATATACTGTAGTTAACTGCATAGTTTTATAATACTATCTAAATATCTATAAACTAATTATTAATCTTTATGTCGATTACTATGAATTGAATGATTTTTCAATAAAGTTTGAATACAGTTATGCCTCGGAGAGGCTAGTTTTGTGTTACTATTCCTCCTGATGATAGGAGATCGTCAGTATCTAGAGTCATACGTAGGTTATTTTCAGAGACGGCAAACCTGATATTAGACTCACAATTTCTATAATAGTTTAACGTTTTGTTGTTACACATTTCGATTTGTAACAAGTAGCTATAGCTTATTAGTAGTTTGCTGGAGCAATTTAATGAATTCATGTGATAATAAAGCCTTGTAGATTCAGTATGCATTAAAATAGTAAATAAAGTTTATAATAATGATTTTACAATCGATATATAAAATTCATCAATTTAATTCTGTTACAGTGTTTATTGTGTACTGTAATTTATTCGTAGTTATTTGGGAATATTTAGTTATAACGAGTTCTTAAATAATACAATTATATTTACCACACAACCAGTGAAGATGCAGTAAAATTGCCATTGGTATATAAATTTCTACCGAATTGATTCATTCCTGATCGACAAAGAGCAATACTCAGCACCAGGCAGATACCAGTTATGGTTTTACGATAACTAAATTGAATTTGGGATGTACTGATTTCTTTGTCATCAGACATTATTAAAAATATTGACAGAAATAAATCAGTATAGAAACAGAAATACTATATATGCTTAGTTGATATGCAAAATTGCGTAACTAAACTAGTGTCTGGTAGTGATTGAAAGAATTTATTACCATGCTGTCCAATTATGAATGTTACGCTATATTATAATATTATTTTAATGTATAAGCAAATTTGTTCGTTTTGATTACCATATTTATGGTGTCGAGATTCGATAGCTGCATCATAGCTATTACGTGATTCTTGATCAACGTTGGCTTTCATTTTTCTGCATAGATGTAAAGTGAATGATAATCCATTAGTAAGAACTATTTGATTATCCTCTACATTGTAGTGTGCTATGAATATACTTTTAAACTTGACTAACTTGGGTACAACATCAAAATTTTGAACTAATTATAATTAAAGCACTCGTAATATAGATCGTAAATGAATACAAGTGCATTTCCTTACGAGAATATTTAAGTACAAGTTGCTAATTTTGAAGTCGATGTCATTATACGCAGATGGTGTTACCTGTCTTAGAACGGAAAGTAGACTACAATTAGAATTTCCCTTTAGATGATTCCTGTTTCAATTTATGCTTGATATATTTTTAGATCAGACATGATTTTAATATATTGGTCAACTTTAACAATGACTTTTATTAACTGTTAATATTGCATTAACTATTACATCACGCTATATATATTACGTATACTACTAAAGCAAAAGAACTCTAAGAATATTTAATCAATTTCGGTAACACTTCATTAAATCAGTAGGAGTTCACTGCAATGATGCTGAAAAGACAATATAAACTAGTTAGACTACAATTATTGAATTAGTGTCATAAAAAATTCATGGCACTCATAAATGGTAAACTGTAGTTAACGGTATGATGATAAGTATCAAAATGAATCACTAATTATAATTAAATGAGTATTTTATAGTTTTACCCCTTTCAAATCGTTGTTTAATTATAAAAAAGATTACTGCATAGAAACATAATTCATTTATGTAATCATTTCGTGTTATTAACTGGCTAGTATTAGGACCATGACTTTAAAATTGGATGTTAATCTAGTTATAGTTTATGTAACAGAAGTATAAGTATCTTGAGCTTAGATTTAAGAGCTACTGATAAAATAATAGAAGTTGGAAGTTAATGGTTGAGAGCAACACCGTATGTAGATTTTGAATTTCAGTTTAATCATAACAGTAATATTACGGTATATACCAGTAGAGCGTAATAGAATTAGAACTGAGATAAATTATGTATAGATGGGCCTCAAATGGGCGTAGAATAGTTCTGATGGCTAATATAGTAAATACTGTTAGAAAATGTAGTGGATTTATAACGCTTATCGGCTATCGTAAAAACTGACGTAAGATTTATTTATACTCGAATGATCTTATGGGCTGTATGCACTAAAAGCTATCGAATCAATTTGCTGTTTAGGACGACAACTAAGTAGCCTATAGAATGATTGCAGATTGAACTAGATATTTACTTTAGTTATATAATCATTAAAAAGTACTCGTACCTGAAGTACTTGGTCGTTTCGACTTGATAAAAGCTCTAGATGAATAAATTGATCATTTAAGGAATCGCTTGCTGAATTAAGTGATTAACATTTCGCGTTTGGTGTTGCTTCGGCCAGCTTAGGGTAACTAGTCGATGGAAATGAATGAAAGAATAATTATATTATAGGATGGGAAATATCATAGATTGCCACAGTTTACTAGGCTTTACATTTATATCAGTAGCTAGAAACAAACAAGTTGCAATGGGGATCTTAACTGATAAGCAATACATAGCTAAAGTATGCTCATATTTCTAATTAATGAAGAGTCTGCGGGCGGCAAGCAATACAAACAACTTATAATACCATAATAGACTAGAATAATTCAGCTCGTTCTACCTGCGTTCTTTTCTTACTAAATATTAGTTCACGCTTGTGTATACGGTATGTATACTAAGATAGATTTGACCAAAAATGTGAAATGTTGCATCGTACAGCATAGTTTTCGGCAAATAATACGCTGATTTTGTAGTATATAGTATATACGCACGCTCATACAAGACTTACGGCAATAATAAAATACTAGCGATTGTTTGTGCTACCTTGCTGGCAGTAAATAAACTCAAACATAATACAGACTATAGGATGGTATACGTATCCAACTCCGAGTCTAATAGACACCATACATACTTCTATAAATAATTTATTAATTGATAGATGGACAAATTGAGCTAAAATTTTATTTAGTCAAGGCTTCATATTAAAATACGGTACGCTATATTAGATATAGCTATAGTACTAGATATTTAATATGTGTATTAATAATAATATATGCAGAATAATTTTCGGCATACATTACGCTCATTTAGTAGTATTTGGCATATGCCCATGCTCACATATGACTTTTGACAATAGTGAAATACTAGCGGCTGTTTGAGCTACTTTGCTGGTAGTAAATAGACTCAAACTTGATGCAGAATTCAGGATGGTATACATATCCAGCTTCTCGTCTAATAGATGACATATATACTTCTATAAATCATTTATTAATTGATGAGTAAATTGAGCTAAAATTTCATTTGATCAAAGCTCCATGTTAAATATATTATATTAGTTGCAGCAACAGTACTAGACATTTAATATGGATATTATATGTTACACGGAGAATATAACTATGCTACTAATGCTATATTTATCTAGCTATACCTATGCCATCTTTGAGTTAGGATGTTGCTAATATTTAACGTAACTCATAATACAACTACACACTAGTCTTTCTACATCTGAATGATATTTTTCAATTACAATAATTTTAAGAATTTACTTCTTCGATAGTTAATTGAAATTGATAGCGTTGCACGAACAAACAAAGCAATTTTATTGTAGCTATGAATACCGTGGATATTACTATAATACCACTGATTTGTATACTGCTATAACTCTGTGGTTATTTGTTTACTAGTAATTCAACGTATTAAAAGCAGCATATTGTGGCGCAGTTTTATAATATTAGAAAATATTGAATACTATTAAATCAAAAAATGCATAAAAGTTATTCTTTCGCTAGATATCATTATTTGTCTTCAAAGTAAGAATTAATTTTTGAATGGCTAATGCAGGAAGAAATATCTTTGAGCTACTGATGATTATAATAAGAGCCATACATTTATCTAGTTTAAAGTATCTTATAGTAATAAATGCCTATTGCACCTTTTATGTTGATGCTGCATGCAAAATATTAGAAAGTTACAATACATTAGACAAAAAAAGAACAAGATTTCAATGAACTGATCTTTATTGGTGGTCATTTAATCAATGCAAATCCTTTGAATAGGATATGATAGTATTTCATTTTTCAAGGTATGGTATTAAAGACGATATATATTAGATCAAATGATATTGAACCATCAAAATATATTGCCGTGCTTGAAATAACTTTTTGACGCAATGATGAAATAACTTAATTGGATAAACATGAAACTAAAGATTCGGAAATTATGTGTCTTTATAAAACAACAAATACAATAATTGATAGATGACAATACAAGTTATAGAATCTAAATGCAACATTTATATTTACAACAGCCAGTTATACAGACTTTAATAAATGTCTATAGACATAAAAATAATTTAAGATAAAGACTGCAGATTATTTTACCAGTTGAACATGAAAATAATTATCAAAAATTTATTATTATTTACTCAATTAAATAGACGTACTATTTTTAAACGCATTCTTGATGAAAAAGATGCTATTATAGGAATAGGTATAGTTAAAATCAAAAATCCGAGAACTACAGCAAGGGTACCGACGATCTTTATAGTATCGAAAAGCAATTTTTCGTAGAAAACATCGATGAGTACATTAATAGGAATAGCTAAAAGTGGACCCATCGACATATATATCGGATACGTTAAGCCTATCCCAACTGTTAGGATACTAGCATAGCCTAAAAGCGCTAATGTTGTTATAAGAAATGGAATTGTAGGAAAGTCAGTTGCTGTAAAAGCTTCTACTTTAGTTGATATTAGTATTGGTATAGGAATCCAGCAAAGTAGAAACAACTGAAAACTCAAAATACTCAAAAACAATGATGATTGTACTACAGTTGCTTGTCCAATTACTTTTTTCGTGAAAACCTGCAAAAATAAAAATTAAAGATTATCACTAAATGTTAATCATCATTGATGAGTTGTAGATATAAAGAACAGTAAGCTTCAAATTAGACGCTTGTTCTTTCTAAATACTTTATAATCTATACTTACACGATAAAAAGCTGAACAGATTGCATTTGCAGTAGCTAAAACAATACCAACACTTCCATATGATCCAAACCCCTCAGAATAGGCTATTAAAATCACACCAGCGATTGCTGTACAAACAGCAAGCATCTATTATAGCAGAACATAGTGAGCCATCCATCAATGTAATTATTTTAATAGATGAAAAAAACTACAAATCTAGACATGTAAGTGTTATGATTAATATCAGTTAATGAATAACATCGGAACTATCCAGGATAGTATCGGTGTTATTCATTAACCGATATTAACTATAACATTTATTGTGGCTAATGCATAAGTAATGTGAGAAAAGCTGAAGCATGTCTACTTTAAACGTTTCTGATATGCCATTCAGATTCAACATGATCGGTACTTTAAATGCAATTTTAAAGTTTCATTAAATGTTGCCAATATTAAGTAGTTGACAAATTTTCATTTGTTATATTTACCCGTATAACTAGAAACGGCTCTTTCAGCCATATTAACGATAAAACGTAGACAAAAGCGGCTGAAGTAGAGGTTACAGCTGTCACATTAGTTGCAGATGTTAATGAAAGTGCATAAAAATTGAAATATGTGGCTGATATCGATATTAACATTAATGGAAGTATCTTCTTTGCGGTATCTTTGATTGATAATTCAGTTTTGCCAAAAATTTTACATCCCTCTCTAAATATTAGGAATAATTGCTAATATTTAGAAGAGTAGTTTAATACCGTAAATATTTAGCATTTAGAAGAATCTGTTACAAGTTTCATTTAGATAATAAATATTAAACACAAAATTTTGATATAATACAACAAATTAATTGACGTTTTGACGATAGATAATTTGTTGTACCTGTGTACATCTTCGTAGCTATGACCAGTTAAGATCATTATCATTACTACCATAGGATATACAATAATTCCCGTTGATCTTGAAGACCTGAATATTATAATAATTTTCGGTTGATATATAACGCCAATAGATTTAGTTATCACACCTGCATGAGTTGCCTAATTTATCTACACTTACTGTAGAGCATTTGATTATGACATGGGCATAAATAATGCAGTCATAACTGCTTACCATGTAACTAACGATGATGCGGTGAAATTGCTATTGGTATATAAGTTTCTACCAAATTGAGCCATTCCTGCTCGACAAATGGCAAGACCCAATACAAGACAAACTCCAGCAACGATCTTACGATAGTTTGATTGATTCGATGATCTATCGATTTCTTCTTTCTTAGACGCTGTAAAAGATATCAATTGATAATTTATTATTGAATTTACAAAGAAAGTTAATATGTATTTAGATACTACCTACATGTAAAAGTGTAATCAAACTAGTACTGTTTAATAGGTAACATAAACATTAAAAAAATATTTACAGCCTTCAAGTGCTGTCAAAGATATGCATTAGGTAAAATTTATATGGATTTATTACCGGTTCGGTGGTATTCAGATTCGATAGCTGCATCGTAGCTGTTAAGTGATTCTTGATCATTGTTGGCTTTCATTTTCCTGTATACGTACAAAGTGATAATCCATGAGCAAATAGCATTTGATCATCCTTTACAGCGCAGCATATAGTCAGGATTGAATTACGCTTACACTTGATCAATTTGGGTCTAGCCGTTAGAAATTTAATCTTAATGCAATACTGTACCTGCGGTAAATCGTAAATGAATATGTAGAATCATATTTGCTTAGGATGATGCTATTTAAGTAGAAGATGTTAAGGTTGAAATCATTTTCCATTCTTCAACGTCATGAAATATTACCGTAACTATTTCAGGAGAGAATGTAGTATAGCTAAGGAATTGTATCCTTCGACATCATTTCTATTTAAGTTATGCTTAGTTTTGATACAGGTCTGATCATTTCTATTTTGATTGTAGCCAACAACGATTTCATCTTTATTGAAATAACGATTGAACTAATCTACATTCGTATACTCCGTATATTATCAAGATTCATTTGGCGAAACCATTTTTTACTAGCCTGAAGTGATTAAATTTGAATGATCATAACATTAATTGTCCATCAACATGAGTTCAAGCTGAAATGACAGCATCACCTCCAAGATTTCGGCTCAAAGTATTGCATGGGGTTCAAAAGAAGTCATAACAGTTTGGATCCTATACAAGTTGTAGTTATCCATATCATGATGAGATGCTAATTGAATAAGCTTATTAAAGATGCCTCTATCAGGGTCATTATTGATAAAAAGGATTACCGGATTATCTCATCATGTTATTGATTCATGCAAATTATTTATAGTATCAATAGTTCGTATTGGTTGCCTTGATGTTAGCATCGGATACGAGCCTAGTTATGGTTTAGGTTATCTTAATACACATCAATTTCTAGGATTGGTTACACATAGAACAGACTAGTGATCGCCCTAATTGAATTATTATTTAACAAGTACCTAACCATGTTTAGGACGTTGACCGTATAAAAATCGGTAGCGTATGAAATTAACCGACAATGAATTATTCTAGTTTCATTGTTATAGAGCAAGCACCTAAAATAACTTTGTCGTCTAGATAGCGCAAAATCTCTGGATGGATAATTTGGTCGTTCAGTAATCTTTTGCAATGGCTAAATAGTTTGTGCTTGGCTTTGCTTGTGATTAATATTGAGGGCGGTTAATCGATGGGAATGAACCAATAGAAAGAATAGTGAATGATAGTTATTTATACCAGGCTAGTCCTGCAGTAGAGGGCATGGTTGCATTGCATAGTAATCGGTGGCAAATAACGGAGCTGCAACTCGTATGACTGAACACCTCGCTGCAGGCCTGTAGCAGAAAATATTTCATGAGTTATCCAATGCTGGAGTAGAATGCCAGACAACAAAGTAAAAGGCAGCAGAGCTCGTCAACTTATGATCAAGTGGCTTACGATAGACTTTGATAATTCAATATGTTGTAGATCGCAGCTGTAGTATCACTTTATTCCTGCATCAGCGATTGCTTACAACTAAAATATTGCAATGCCTACTCAAACATACCTATTAGCGTTGACCTAAGCGTCCATTCACTATAATGTAGATACTCCATAGAGTCCAACAGAAGCCATATTTCAAAATTGTATCAGGCAGAACTTGCTGTTGAATAAAGGGCGTTAACAAGAGTAAAATTCTTCTTCCATGGACTGACAGACTGAATTTCTTGAACGAATTTTTGCTAGTTTACTTGAAGATTTAACTGATTGAATTAATCAACCCAATTTCTACATTATCGAGCTTTTCCAGTCTCCCAGTCTGATCATACTGTGGTCTAAAGGAAGAGAGGAAGAAGGTCAAAGTTTAAACTTAAGATTTTACATGGAATAATCACACCCACTTGACTTGGCTAATTAAGGCCGACTTCCATGGATAGTAGCGGTAGTATAAATACTTGAACGTGGCTGGCGAGAGTAAGGTGGTGACCAAAAAAATAATATCACACTTTGCACTTGGAAACGACAGAGTCTGAATATTCCAAGCCGGTAGTCTTGATCCACAGCATGGTCAAGGTCTGATTGAAATTATGATCGCTGGCCTATTTTATTCAATTGATTGCTTTAGCTTGCACCCTGTGGATTTCTTGAGGTATCGATAGACAACTCGATCAACTTGCTTTGCTTGAATACAGTATATACTGTTGCTGGATAGCATCAAGATAGCTGAATACAGGGAGTAGGATAGAGAAAGTGTAGTTGCGGTAAAATTATCCTTCATACGTCAAAAAGTAGAATGGCGATCCAACAACAGTTTCATCAAGTGCGTAATTTTACCTATGGAATTAATCGATATGCCATGGCCGACTTGGAAAATGCCATCCTAACCCTTGATTATTTCATTGATAAATGCTTAAAAGAGAATTCTTCGACTGTAGTAAGTCATGCTGTCAGTCAACTTATCACGACGACGATAGTTTTTAATTTTACTCCACAATTTAATGCCCTGCAATGTGGTGGTGCTTGCGATATCCAAGTTCAAGTACCCCAAATTTCCGATCATCATCTTCGTGCTATGGCTAGATTAACATTCTCTAATCAGTCTGAGGAGTCTCACAAAGACGAATTATGCCAAGTAATTATTAATAGACGAGCAGTAGATAATCACGAACGTTTTCAAGTGGATGTGGATAGAAATCAGGACGAAATTTTGAAGGTTTGTAGCTGTTTTATTAAAAATTACAGTAATCCAATGCATAACTCTAGATTCATTACACCTTTACTCTTTATAACATGACCATTTATACCGTTGCATTTTGTTAAGTTGATACGTTTCAGGACTAAGTTGCTTGAAATTTCTGCCAAATAACAATAATTTAATTTGTATAACAGAGTGAACTGTAACAGCACTGATGTAACTACCTACTTCATCTTCATTTTGCACAGCTCATCTTTTCTCTTTACGCAAGTATTGTGTTCTTGCCTAGTCTTAATCATCACTAACTCTACGTTTTGCTCAGATTAAAGAAATATCCCGTCGTAAAGATCCTATCCACTCACATTCCTTTCCTGTTCGGCCGCAAGATTTGAATCAATCTGGATTCGTACCGACAGCTTGTTATGTGACTTATTGCCAACATGCTGCTAGTCATGCTATTTATTGTAAGCATCTTCCAGGTGCACAAAATTTTACTCATATATTGCGATTAGCTAGAATGCAAATATATGTCCTGTCTTTGGTGAGGGAAGAAAATCTTTTAGTAGAGATATGGCAGCAAAATGTTGCTGAACGTTTCATCATCGATTTCCGTATTACCAGTAAAGATGGCATCGTTTGTGTTGCCAGTTTTGATGTTAATACTCACTTTAAAGCCGAAAAATTACCTTTTTACGAGATACCCCTTCAACGCTCTGAAACATGCTGTAATTATGATGTACCTGGATTTTATCGGCTAAGAGATCGCTTTAATAATGCAAAATTAGACACAATGTTAAGCTATAAGGTGGCTCTTGACAAGATGACAATGGATATTGCTGATATTTTTGGCGTGCGAGCTGCCTACAGTGATGGTAGATTCTTCCCTGTCAGACATGAAGTCAAAATTGCCCCTGGCTTTTACTCTATTCTTCCAGATGCTCTTGTAAAATGTAGCATACAACTGGCTAGTATGAATCGTACTTCGGTAATATTTGACCACATATTGAAAGTAGGTTCCAATAAACTACTCACTATATCGACCAAACTGGTCTCAGTTAATCATGGTCGTGTAGCTAATATTCCTGACAGTATAATGTTATTAGAAGCTCTTGCCCCCTTATTAAATAAGAAGAGTTACTCAAAGGTACGTATTGTGAATGGACCATTACTTACATACATATAATTCAAAATGAACTATTAAAATTCTTTGATTGATTTCTTAGCTAATGCATGTATGCGATTATTTATTACCTATTGTAGGTGACATGCCCTAACCAGATTCCTATCAAAGCCTTCAAGTACTCTTTTACCATTAGGTCCAATGATATCGACATTAACCAACATGTCAATAATGCTGTCTATATCTCAGCTTGTTTTGATGCTGCAAGTAAGGCAGTTTCATCTGGTTCATCTGCATATCGGACATCGTTCGGTCGTGATTTTAATCCTGCCTGCTTAACTGAATTATCCGCTAGCTATTACAAGCAAATGTTTGAACATCAGCTTTTAGATACCTTCACATGGCAAGATGAAGATGATGACAAACTGCACTTTGTTATGAAGCATGAGAATGTTAATATATTTTACATGACCGGAAACTACAGTGTTAAACAGATATCCAAATTATAGATTTTCACGTCTCAAATTTTTTGAATGTCTAGTAATCATTTTGCATCAGCACTTAAGAGTAGCTCAAGTAGATATCACGCTCGTATAGTGCTTCTCGCGTTACCGAGCAATACTTTTCTTAACTGATAATAATCGTACATAGAATGCTTATTCACTCATTCTTAATGTGTAAAGCCAATTAAAAGTTGATATTTTGCGCTTATAATACTTTTCTGTACAACTATCTGGCACTTTTAATTTTTAGTTATTTTATCAAGGATGAAAATACAAGTTTAATTTAATACCTTAAGTATTCTACACTAGTTTGGGTTTATGCAACTGATCACTGATTTACAGATTTCGATGCCGTTTGATATTGTCTCAAACGTTTTATTATTTATCAACTATGAGCAATTTATTACAGTATTATCGGCTGAGTTGTGGCCGAAAAAATTTAAAATGGTCAAAAGTTTTTACGTTTGAAAACTTTCAATTTGTTTCAAATTACTCTCGTAAGAAGTTAACACCTGAACCAATTTTCAGTTAACAGCTTAATATAAAATTAATTGACGCGCTATCATAGTATGAGATTCGTGTAATACAAAAACATAAGTAGCCTAATGTAATTATTGGTATGAACAATCCTTGTAGCATGGATGATATTTTTAAAGGTATTTTGCTTAATCTAAAGATTGAAATTTTAATGTAAGCTAAGCCGCTTCAATCGGTTGTCCCATTCTTCTTAAATGGCGATAGTGAGCTTTCAAGGCCTCATAAAAATTAGATGATGCAATATATTTAATGTTAAATTCCTTGCATGTCCGTCTAACAATTTTTGATAGTTCTTTATAATGATGATAATGAACACTAGGGAATAGATGGTGTTCGATTTGAGTGTTTAATCCACCAGATAAGTACAGTGCCAAATAACTGTAGCAAATTAAAGATAATAAAGGAAATGATTAAGGATAATGTAGACACCCTTCTACTATATACTTAAAGATTTCGATCAATATAGACTCCGGTAATTAATCAGTAAAATTTGTACAACGATTATGAAACTGTAAAGTTAAAATTACCTATCTGACCCGTAGTTGTGTGATGTTATGACTTGATGTTTACCCCAGTCTACCTTCTTGTTCGGAGTGTGGTCAACAACGCCATCTACCTCATGATTGACAGCGAACTGTAATGAGAACCACGTGCTAGCTATCATCTAGAAATAAAACAAAGTTGATGTTTTAAGTTATTGTTCACTACGAAGACGGTAGCTGTTATAGCTTCATTATTGTAAACCTTACCTCAGATACTAAATACAACTTTATAGCTTCCGAAAATGGAAAAAATACGAAAAATAATACAAAACGTTGCGCCAAGTGAAAAGCCACTATAAAATGAGATGGAAAGATTTCATTCATTAGATAGATTCTAGTTAAAATGATTTAATGGGATAAAATGTCTAATTAAATGTACTATCACAGTACCAGGCACTCATTTCACCAAACAACAGGATAATTAATGCTACTATTACTTACGAACTATCCATGTTTCCAATATATCCAGCTTATTTAAGTAAATAACTTGTGTAACCCCTTCTATAGGTGGATCAGCAAATAATTTTATTGCATTGGAGATGCTCCAGAAAGATAAGGTAAACGGATATAAAAACCATATATAGATATGCTGTAGATGGTGGAATGCGAGCCTTTTATGGGCTGGTAGTACACGTTTTAATGGATACATCTATATTATTTGTAAACAAATATGATAGTGTATATTTCCTTTAGATACTTATACATCAGTAGCGGTCAAAACCAAGATGCATGTTTATTTACTTCATTAAGAAGATAGTTATCTAGTAATTCATTCATGATGAATAATATATTATAGTATAGTACTGTATTATATAGAAATATTGTAGTATTATATAAAATTGATCAATTTTGTAATATTGGCTTACAGTATCATCGTCGACAGGAACTATATTGGTGTCAACGTGATGAGCGATAACATGCTTCGATGTCCATTGAGCCGGTGTACTACCTATGGATGGTTAATTGGGTAAACATGAATAGTCATGTTCGCGAAATATATAGAATAGCAGATTGGATTACTGCTCGTATACGCAAGGTCCTATTTTGCAAAATATAGAATACCTGAGATGGCCATCGATACAATGTAAATGGCTTTGTTGATAAAAGGGCTTCTCGAAAATGCATAGTGAGAGCCAGCATGTGTTGGACCAATGATACACATAGCTCTACCAAATCCCCATAATGCAGCATATATCCAATTTCCTGTAAAGTTTATAATTTAATATATCCATGTCATAAAGGATATATTTTCTCTCCACATACACTATTAGAATTGTTGTATCCTCTTACCTGTCATAAACGTTAACAACATAAAGGCGTATGTTGCTATTACTTCTAATAGGGTAAAAGCACCGACTAAATAGTCAGCCTTGGTATGATTGATTTTGTTCTTCTTAAAGTATTGCCTGGGGTCATAAAAATTTTGAATTAAAATTTTGAGTGTGGAATCATCGCGGTTACATTCAATTTGGTGTAAAATAAAAATAATATCAATATACGGATAAGAGTGGTCATTCAGCTATACAGCATATATAACATTTACACAGATAACGTGACGATTTATCCTTGACTGTTTATTTCGCCATGGCATAAACAAAAATGATTTTACCAAAAATATGAATAAACCTAAAATCTTAGCCGGAAGTAAATGTTACAATTACCGATTGTTGCTATATGACTATTATTTCTATACGGGTAGAAATAGTGTAACGGGAATTACTTACTGTACCTCTATTTTACAGTTGATATTGCTACATTTAAAATAATTTCGAAATCGAAGATAAGGTATGACATCCATTTATATACGGTATTAAAAAATAATGATTCCTTGATATACCATTGCCATTGGCAAGTATTTTGAAATAACCGGATGTAGCTGTGATTACTAGATATTAACATTGTTACTGATTGAAGATTACATCAATACCTGCTTTATTCCGAACATTATGTACTGTACTTTAACAGCATGTAGTGAGCAGGAAAGGATTGCTAACACTATTTGTATTTATTTGCGAAATGAAATACTTTACCGGTTGGAAATCGAAGGAGATTGAGCTATCAAATAATCGATAATTTTCTAATTTAAAATAAGTTACGATCTATCGTTTAAAATTTCCGTTTTTAGATAGGAAGATTCAATGTACTTACCTAGCTCTTTCTTTCACTGTCATATAGAAGCCGTCGGGCTCAAAGGTGAAAAATGATCCTTCAACTACCTTTCCGTTTTTGACTTTATATTTTTCTAATAGAGCATCAGCAGGTCTGAACGTATGATAAGATTCAAACATTGCCGTACAATCTCTTCCTCGTCCTAGCATAATAGCTTTTATTCCACCGGGATGATTTTTAAGAAAATCTTTAAAATCGTAAGGGATACCATTCAGGTACCAATATCGATAATCGTGTCCTGATTTAGCCGTCATAATTGCCTGGATAGTTTTGTACTACTGGAATGAATTTGATCAGAACGATTAGCAAATGATTCCATCGCAATCTACTCGTACGTCGCTATTTAATACAGTACAGTACAATAACACGATCAATACTTGGATATTTTCTATCTATGTGAGTGATTTTCAATATTATAAATGCTGTATGCGCATCGTATCATTGATCTAATCTAGAGTAATGCTGATATCTCTATTAGTCACCATTTTAAACTTGCACATTGTGACTGAGACGACAGCACTGCTCTACGATTTCAAGTAAGACAACACTATTGACTACAATTTTTTGACCCTCATGAATTATTTACTATCTATTAAGAGTAAATTAACTTAACGTTACTCTAATATTTAATCGGGACATCGTACCATTTATCATATGGAAATATCTGCTATTAAGCTAAAATGAAAGGGCTCAAAATAGGAAGGCTTCCAACTACTTTTACACGTTGCGATTAATGACATTCGAATAGGATAGTAGTCAGTCCCTAAGAGATGATATACCTATACGCGTGTATTGAAAGATTGTCCATGTCCATGTGTATTGTCTAGTTTGGATAATTAGGTACAAATTAAAACGCCTTTCCGATATTAACGAGCATGATCGTTGGCAATATTGAAAAGTGTGGCACGAAGTGATGTCAAGAGTTTGCCGTGCTTTGTACCTTGGTAGTAGTAACGATAGTGTTGCTTGTTGTAGAAGCATGGAGGACTATTTATTTTTTGATGTAGTCTACCGTATAAAATCAATCAATCTATTCGCTCGATTTCGAACTTTACGAGTACAGTGCATAAGCACTTTGCCGTCCTAAGTCAAGACTACCATACAGTAAGATGATATCGTCAAGTAACTCTAATTATATTGCAATCATCATGCCGCAATCATGGATGTAGAAGGCAACTTAGTAGATTGATGCAGTCTTATTACTACAATAATGATAGCGGGAATGCATCAAGTTATCATCATCGCGCGATGAATACGTATCACGAACGGTTCAAAAAGATTTCAATCCAGCGTAGGGCACTTTGTAAAGGCAATATAGCTGTATGATAAGAATAGCATGATCAGCTAGTCCATTGCAAGGTTTCAATCACGTATGTCTTTAAAAGAACTGAACGTTGATAAAATAGCACTCCATCAAAGCAATCAAATAAGTGTCGATAGATAATTCATTAATTTATTGAAGCTGTAGTAAAATACGTTGTCACGTTGGATCTGATGCTATCGCCCAATTTACGATATAGCAAGTATCGAGATCCGAATGGTTGTTATACCTTTTAAAGCCTACGATTGGAGCAATATCTTGTCCTTCTTCAATCAAGAGTAAATCAATGGATCGATGATCGCTAGGCCTAATTTGGATCACCAAGAGTTGGTTGAGTAATCGGCTGGATAGGCTCGAGTAACTGTCGTGTTGGCGAAGCACCGGTTAATCTTGCTACTCAGTTACTTGCCTACATTGACCGAAGGGGGGGGGGTAGTATCGGCCAGAATGGATGCAAGAGCCCTATCAAAAGTCGTTATTTTGACCGTGTTAACCAGCACTTTTACAGCAATCGATAGGCGTCTATTATTTTTTCCCCTAGTCTATACAATTCCATGCTGCATTTGCTATCGTTCAAGAGGTAGACTAGGCCTTCAATAAAAAGGCGGAGTGCAAATATTCCGCAAATTTAACAATAGTAAAATGCAAATTAAGCGCTCTCCTGATACGGAAATGAACCAATCACGTGCATCGTAGTATTTTTGAAACAATAGGCCACCAAGTATCTATCACGTGCTTGATGAAGGTCGCAGTCCAGTCAGCGTTCGAGGCGGTTGTGTATGGCTATGGCAACGTGATTGAATGAATGTGGCGCTATGACACGACGAGATGGGGTGACACTAGGCGATCGAATGTTTCCTTCTTTTATACAAAGTCTATGGAGCGGACAGGTGAAGCACACCTCCAACACGTCGAACACGAGCCACGGCACAATCTCAGACTGCCATTCATTCACAGCCAAGGTCGTGGAGCAGCATGACTGACTTCATGGTAGACCATGCTGTCGTCAACATTGAAGATGGCTAAGCAAGAAAATTGGGGCATAACTTCGTTGCCAGGGTTGGTTGGAATATTTTAAATGCGTTAAGCAATTTTCCATGAAGCAACAAACTACAATGTCCATTAACAACGTTCATTCAAGACTGGTTTGCATGATAACTATTTTTAACAACCAGATGATAACTGGATACAATACAGTTATACAGTATAAAACAAACAGTCCATCGTATTTTCTTAGCGTTTACCATAGACAGTCCTGTGAACTGTGATCATCATCATGGTCACAGGACGGTATGTTAACATGCGAGAATGCTGCCACGAATTTGGATGAAAATTTTTAATTTCACAGCAGTACTACTGTACTTGATCGCATTGATGAATGAAGAGTCCACCATGCAGTAGCGAACGAAATAATGATATCATGGGTATCGCGAAACGGAGCAATGAAATTGTTTCTTCTGTTCGCTGCTGAAGGATTCAGATTTTTTGGCGGGGGGGGGGGGGAACGAAATAATAATATTATGGGTATCGCGAAACGGAGCAATGAAATTGTTTCTTCTACTCCCTGCTGAAGGATTCAGATTTTTTGGCGGGGGGGGGGGGGAAACTTAATGGAATAATTTAGCCACTAAATATCCATTTTTAAAACAGTACAGACAGAAATAGATGTCAAGTAGGAATTTCACTGCACTGATAAACGCGAAGGAAGATTTCTCGGACAGTATTGTGCGGTTTGACTGGAAACTATCTGGGATGCCATACGTCATAGACTAAAAAGAGTACATATGGCAATCTACAGGGGCCTAAGAAAAAAGGAGATGACTAAGGGTCGCAAATCATTAAAATCCAATCCTTCAGGAATCCGTAATCCTCTCCATTTCAGATCACAGTAAAGTAGACAAGTTCAGGCACTGCTATTTCCATTCGGTGATAGATCACACAAACAGACAATGCCTGCGGTGATCAAGCTACGCTATCACTGTTGTGATGCACCATATTTGATTATAAGCACGGCTATATTGGATATAGTTAGGTTATTCTGAATAGATATTATCATGAAGCTAATATTAAATGATTGCTAACTACTATATTAGAAATTGTTGATGACTAATAGTAGCCAGTTGACTAATTATGGTACAAGATTTATGTGGTTAGAAACACTATAGTCGTTAAGATGCCCTTCGGAGGAAGGGGTTAGACGTTAATAGAAGAGTAGTGATATCTTCGGTAGAATGATTTAGATTGTAGAAGATAATGATGTACTACTTGAGAAAAGTATTTTATTGAATGACTTATGTTTGATTGTAGATTAATCAAGTTGTCATAAATGGATTTAAAGAAATGTATAGAAGAACTGCAGAGATGAGCTCTAAGGAGAAGAGAATTCACTTCGCTTTAAACTCCGGATACTTTAGATTTTGGACTAGATTCTTACAGTAATTAATTATTGCTCTACCATTTCCAAAACCTTGTAATAAATGCCTTTCAGAAAATACCATTTGACTAAGATAGCTATTGTGAGACACTTTTATTACAATTACTAATTAAATTTAACAGAAAGATGGGAAAAGCAAAGCGTAAACCATCTATTTAATGTCAGTAACCATTCCTCTGCAACATACCAATCTAGTATAAATTATAGCACATAGTAAACACAATTTATTAGAATTAATCTAACTGTAAAAATAATATTGTACAAACACAGATACTAATGAATTGATATTACTGCAGCAGTAGTTGTTGTGAAACATTTTTCTAGCTTCGAGAACAACCATTTCCTCTACTTGCAAGAGCTGTATCGTCCATTTACCCGAACTACTGTACAAGAACAATTTCTGCTGATATCGATGAAGTTATCAGATAAAATCTTTAAAAGCCAACAATGGAGACTGCACCAAATCTGAAATCAGTTGCAGCGAGATCAAATAGAACAATTACTGCGTATTCATTTTAAGTTAGTTAGCATGAAACCACAAAAATTCCATAAATATCTTAATGACATGAGACATGTCCTTTCTTATCATTTGTCTGCGAGTTAACGAAAAGGTTTTCCTACAGCGATTAAAATTAATGTAATACAATATTATACATGCAAGTTATAAAGTACAGGCTATCTTCGTTTGCTGGATCCTTTTTTTTTTTGCAAATGTTTGCAATCTTAAATATACTGTTGATTGGTCCATTGTTGCTTGTAGTTATAGTATAAGTACTTTACTCTGGTCCAGATATGATTATGCGATGGACAGGTTAGTGATTGAGTTACGTTACACCATACGGCCACAACGAGGATTGCCAGCACCAATATGATCAGTATAACAGCCATAATCAAGAAACACGAAGGTCCTCGGTCATCTAATAACATTGAATAATGTCAGACGTCATGAAATAGATAACTACAAGTATAGTCACTATTAGTATTATTACATGTAGAGTAAAAGAGCATTTATCTATTGTATTCGTTCATCTCTGTATATTAAAGATGGCTACCTTCGTATTCATCATCTTTTAATTCATTCTCAAGTGTATCGTCAGTTTCTTGTTTCTGATGCTTAGCACTTCGTTTCCTTAATCGATTGCCACCTGCAGTAGCTTCATCATCTTCGGGTTCTTTTTTATCTTTGGCTTCTTTATATTTGGACAGGGCATCTACAAAACGAGATCAGTTAATTAAGGATATCAAAATGGGCATACCGATATTGCTTGATGTTACCGCATAGTAAGTTATATGAGTGTACAGGAAACCAACTTACCAGAATATTGCTTTTTCCCTACGCTTGCATAGATGCATGTAAAATATTCCAGCGTTTTCTTAGTTATGTCATGAGATTCTCCGTAAATTGATTGTCGAATCTTAGTTGCCTGCAGATTAGAATTAATATTAAATTAAATGAAATACCCAAGATATTAATTAAATTATTCATCCTAAGCTGTATATATTTCATGAAAGATACGTTTAATGCTCACCTTGCCGCAATATTCAAGGGCTAGATGGGGACTGGATAAATGCAATAAAAAGTGAGCAAATGTTAAGGCACAGAACAGAGTAAAAATTATGATTCAGTGAATATTTTTCAATTTAAATTTTACAACCATCATTCACAATTTCATATTAAAAGCATACAATCGTAACGAAACAGTGTGCAAAAACAACAATTGAGTGATTTTAAACGTCTTACTTGTTATTTTGCAAACACATGGACGCTAACGTAGTAAATTCTACAGCCCTTGCAGCTAAAGGATTGGTTTTATGTTCATCATCTTCATTCTCCTAAGATGAGGGGTAGATATTTATAAAGCAACTATATAGAATATCGATAAAGACTACTTTACGGTCGTACGAGTATGAAACACACCTGCAATTCTAAAAGTTCTTTTAGTGTGTTGGCTCCTGTCAGAAACAAGATGATGATAATATTAAAGTTATAAAATACATTTAAGGAAAAAGTATAATTTAGCAATCAAAATGGTACAATATGTCTAAGTATATAAGATCTATGCAATCGAACAACCATGGTTAGTATAACAAATTCTTCGACAGTAAGTCAACGCAGTCACCAGTGAATAGAAAATGCACCTCTACAAGTACCTATACGTTATATATGCTATAAAAAATAATGATAGAAATACCTTCATCATTTTTGACTGTAACTTCCTGATTACTGACATCCATGATTAGAGCAGTTTCGTAATACAACTTTTCTGCTTGTATAAATTGCACAGCTTTATCAACTAAAATAAATCGTAAAAAAGCTACATGTAATACATCTGTTACAAAATCAACGGGTCACTTTGTTATTAATAAATATCACGATAGGAATGCTGGATATTGTTGGCTACGTACAATTTTCTCGCTCAAAGTAAATAGTAGCAATCTAGTAAGCGTTGCAAAAAAATAAAAAGAATTAGAGACTGTGAATTGTTACCGTCTAGAACAATATCTGCTATATTGCTTTTCATTACAAAAAGCTAGGTTACTAGAGGATGAAAATTGCTTTATAGAAATATTGCAATTAACGATACTAGGAAACTGCTGAAAATGAGTGACTTTGAAATGTGTAAGCCAAAAGTTCATGATTACTTACGCTATGTAAGCATTGCGGAAGTAAAGAAAACGCATTATTGTTATTGATGCCTTTCAAACATGCCATGAAACATCTAAGAGCAAGATCGCTGTTTCCTTTATCCTGTAATAGTTCAATAAATGGGTATACGTGAAGATATCGTGTAATGAAATAATTAGATCTTTTAAATTTGGCGATCGACTTCAATATATCTAGTATTACTAAGAGTGTATAATCCTATTTTAAAATTAATATCCATTAAACCATCGCCTCCGTTTTAAGTGGTATATACAGTAAAGCTGACTTGGTCATATACGCTATAGGGGTACTAAATGCTAATGCTTTAGCACTAATCTTAAATCTTAAATCGTATATTGATGTACGATATATTGTAAACACAGTTATGCTTCCTAACTAAGAAAAGTGAAGCAGTTACCGTAATACGATATCAACTTGTCAGCACAAAATAGTGAGAATAAAACTGCTGTTTTAAGAAATAAATTTGTGCACAAAAGGTACTTATCGTTTCTCTTTATATGAGTATATATATACGCATATGCCCATATATTGAAGTACGGGAGGGCTATTGCCAACAAATCTACAAATTCTTTGAAATTAATTTAAAATTACCTTGAACCTGTAATGAAAGATAAAGAGAAAAATTAAATTTGCAATATTGTTGGAAACGTAATAAGAGAACTACTAGGGAAATTTAATTCGTTATCAATATCTAGTACTATTAGGACGTTTCCGTTACACTTTACATAACGTATTCCGTTGATATATTAGTACAGTAGAAAATTGTTTGTGTATCGTTGGCGGCAGGTTGAAAGCACGATTTTATTAGGGCAATGCACAGTTAATAGCACCATAATCAAGCCTTTCCCGTTTCTCGCACAAAATTATAATTAAGAAGATAGAAAAAAAATGATTAACTGCTGATTTAATTCATTCCGTGTACATTTAATATAAGAAATACTAATTTATAGTGTTTATTTACTTTCAAAATAATTAGGATTCAGTAAGTAATAGCTATCCCATACTAACGATACTGCATTAAAAATTGAATTATTTATTACCGGCAATATAACATTGACTGCTATTCAACTACAGATTCATTAAATCTATAACGATAGCAGTGTTTAGGGGTCTCTCTAATGTAAACGTTTAGAATTGATTTTTAATAAAGGCGAAAGATAATATCTCAAGTGAATTTAGTTGTACTAGGTTTTATAAGGAAGGTAAATAATATAACAACTAGTACGACAAGCTCAAATTCCCTATAAAAAGAGAGTTAGCGTTATGTGCATACAATTTGCTCAGTTAGGGAAATGGTGAATCGGTGATAAATTGTACAGTAAAGTAAAAAGTACCAGTATAGTATAGTGTGAAGTCGAACGGGCGAGGGATCTATATGTATAATATTCTCGTATATGACATATTTAGCTACGAACTTTGGTAGCATTCGAAAAAGACTATTGTTTTTCGAGAGGAATTGATCAAACTAGAGTACCTGCAGCGGGGTTATACTATGACTTGATCCCATTATAAGATTAAATATTTCACCGTAGATCAAATTTGGTTTATTATGAAGAATTCTTTCAAAACAAATTGATTTACGACGTATGTTTTCCTGCAAGTCTTTCAGTATTGTTGAAAAAATGAACAATATGCTTATGGTGATTACTGGGTAAAATTGTAAGACTCTGTTGATACTGCATTGTCCAAAATTTCATATCTTTTTGTTTTTATAACGTAATTTAGGAAGATAACTATAACCGTCGATAGCATCTGATAGACTTACTGTATAAATACAGTACTAGACTTAGCATCAATAACAGAAACTCACGATTATAACTGATATCATAAGTGATAACTACATTAAATGCGGAGTAGGCAGTAATTGGAAAGACTTCAGTCGAGATTTCGTATACAGTAAGTAACGATTCAACTCAATCATCGGTTGTATATCGTCGATGCACTTTTTAATTAAACATAATATACTGTAAACGAAAAATTTTAAGGGTAGTCAAATTGTCGAAAATGCAATCAGGCATTCTTCTTGTTGTCAACTACTAACCGGGGATAAAAAAAGAAAAGGACTCGTGTTATTGTTGTGCCGTGGACTATTCGTTTTGTGTGAATAATAAAATAGTTGGTCAACTAACCGCACTATGAGCTCATTATTTATTAAAGCTTAAGCAGTATCGACATAAAGTAAAAATGATCAAAGTTCGTTTGAATATCCACCTCTTCGCCATTTACTTAATCAAAGCCATATTGGTAAATAATTACATTTAAAGCAACTTGGTTTCTCTATCCATGCACAATTTAAAATGTATCGTGTGGTTTATCAGGGCTACTAAAGGGAAATATCTCTGTTTCTAATATGGAGTTCATGTAGCATTAAGGTCAAATTTTGTTCCGATATCATTATGCGAGTACGTGATATAGTTTGTATATTAGACCAAATTGCTCGATACTCGTATGGGTGATGATTAGTCTGTAGTTAAAATTGGGCAGATGCCGAGGATGAATTACAATAACTTGGGCAATTGCTTGACTGAGTATAGCATTGATTAATTATTCAGCAAAGCGATGTCTAGCATTTCGGTACAAATGAACATTTTAAAAGAGTTCAAAAAATGCAAGATCACAGACAGGCGCGATCAAACTACAGCAGAACGACGGTATATTGTTTTACTGTGGGCTATACGAGGCTTAATTCAGTATGGTAAAAGAGGCCGGTGAAAAGGGCATCTTGAAAAGGAATGATTCTACAGTAATTCACGATCATATCCAGTAACTTGAATCTACTATTCAGGCAGTTAACTCAACATCAACAATAATTAAGCGTTGCCAGCATTGTTTTACTGCAGTCAAGTTCTACTCGACAATCTTTACTACGCCCCCAAAAGCATGAAATGTCATTTATCGCTATCGTTATCGATATCCAAGCTACTTTATTGTTACAGTGCGAATCGACTAAATGTGTTAGAGTCATCGATTTTGACTCTTAACTGCTGAAGAAGACTGGCGCGGCATAGAGTAAATCAATTAGCCATCAATTTTAATGCTTCCACTTTTACCAATGTTGGTTTTACTCCAGATACCCCGTTGTTTCTAGAACTATAAACTACGCGTCTATGCCATGATGAGAAAGATACGGTTACCTTGTGCCTTTTTGGAATAATTCTTCTCTCTCTTCCGCCCTCAATTGACTGGCTTGATCCAAATTGATTTGATCATCATCATAAATAGGCTGGTTTTCTTCTTTTTTCAACGTTCCATCATGATCTTGTGATCCATTTTGTAAATCTTGATGCGATTGGTTAGTCTGAGGTTGATCTTGCAATGTGTTGCTTTCTTCTACATCGGAATGATCTTGACTAATCTCATCTAATAGCTGCATTGCCGACTGAACCGATTGAACTTCCTTATCCACACCCTCAGCCATGTTATCTTGAGGAGAATTTTCGCCGTTAGTCAATTGGCTATGGTGATCGATATGATCATTATTATTGGTAGTATTATCTACGCCAATAGGGCGATCGTCGTTGGGAGAATTTACAATAGATTGGGAAGGTGATTTATCAGCCATGATTTTCGAGTCAATTAAACTAATTAATTAATAATGATCAAGACGAATGGACAATGCAATCAACGATGTTATTCAACTACTGTCAACGTTGTGATCGTCGAATGGGATGGGGGGTTAAATTGGAAAGTTTGCAATTCATTCAGGTCAAGTGGGTCTTGCCTCTCCAAAGCTTTAATTCAATCTACGCCAACGAGCAATTTGCCTAGCTTACAGTCTACTCGTATACTGTCTATCCGACAGTCTATCAACAAGCGTCCGTTGAAATTTGCCGCTATCACAGTCTATCGACTACTGTGCTTACAGTTTCCAGTACTGTTGTACAGACCAAACTCATGTATCATGTACACACTATCATCCACAATAGGAGCTGTGTAAACAAACTCTTTCAGCCAGTCCTAAAAAGGGGCCTATTGCAACAAAATCGCTCTGTAATTTTGGACTGGCTAACTATAGTCCGTCGAGTTGTCCCTGGCACTCTCTACAGACAGTTTAAAAAGCATCGAGAAAAAGACCAGTGTGGAAATAGTCATTGGTGAGCGGTTAACTGGTAATACTGGTCAAAACAACGCAAAGCAAACTATCAAGGACTCTATCTTACCTAAAGTTTTAGTAAGGTAAGATTGAGTACCCTGTAGTCGGCCATCTTCCAATTCTATTCTCCGGACCAGACCATCAAGATCTGTACATTACAGTGTACAGTGTACAGTGTACAGTACTGTGCCAAGTGGACCATGGAATGTACTGTAAGGAAAGTGTACAGTACAGTACTAGTAATGGTAGCAATAATAGAAGTACTGTACTGTAACTTGACAATCTAAGTACAGTACAGTACATAAGTATACAATATACTGTACTGTACGGTATATACTGTACAGTACATACCGTAAATCCGAATAAGCAAATACTGTATACAGAAAGACTTGATGCACAGTACTGTACATGCGATCGTACGGCACTGCATATTGTACTATACACTCTACTGGCCTGTATGAGACTATTCTGCTGGGCTAAGCCAGCTACGTCCAACGACGTTGTTGCAGACTTCAGCTGACTTAAAGGAAAGAAGTTGAAAATGGCATCCAAATCGATGACAGCGGTGCTACAAATTGAAGATCAGGATTACACTCGTCATTATGCATACCAGCTTGATGGCAAGATATCATCCGTAGTTCAGTCTTTGCAGACTTTACGCCACGACTTTGGCAGTGATATAAATAAAGTTATTGCTGATCAAGCTAGCGGTGTCATGGCGAATGATCCAGGTGCATCAAAGTAGAATAGAAATAAATAATGATAGCGATTTGCACTTACTGTAAATCTCTTATTGTAGTTTCCATCATGTACATTGTACTAGATTGCATAGGATTCTAGTATTGCATCATAGTGTATAGGTCGTAGCAAGCGAATCTCACTATATCATTTCCTGATGGATGATTAGCATACTCGCTTGTTTTCATCAAAAATCATCTCCAATAATAAATGCATGCGTATCTCGTTCAAAAAATGACTGTTAGTCATCTTGTAGGAAAGAATTATCCTCTAGTAACAAAGACTTAGCTGGGTATTTCTTAGGACACGAGTTATCAACATAGTACAATACTAATCAAAGTCCTTAATCTATTCAGATGATCAGCAACAAGATGAAGATGATGATGACGATGACGATGACGATAGTAGCGATCAAGAACCAAATACTAAGAAAGTCAAAACAGGATAAAACAGATTTGCTGTTCTACCCGCAAGTTTACCAAGCGATAAATGAGTTCTAAAGAATGCAAATATAGATTCATTGCCAGGATAATATTTCAGTGCCTTAAATTCTATAGCTAAAACAGAGAACAGACAGTTCCGGCTACCTAATGGAAATGAGTGAATCTTAATGAGATACTTGTAGTCACTTCAGCGGAGTTTTACTTGATTGAAGAGCATGTTGTCGTTATACAACTCGTCAATTTTGTAAACAACCAGCATTTTACAGAGTTCTTGATGTAAAGGTTTTAATTTCAACTTGTTGTATGTGACTGCATGCACACTTATTTATCATTGTATCCAAATGCCAACTCAGGTGAGCTAGTTTGCAATGTCCATAAAAATAATCTTACTGTATAAAGTGTATAAAAATTGAAACCCACTCATGTTGTTGCTTTTACTCATAATGTCAACATTCCATTTTGTAACTGGAACAAAATAGTCCACTTTATTTACATGATACACATTTGGGCTGAGTGAATATAATACAGAAGTATTAATTAGCTTCTTTCTTATAATAAAAACAGGTCGTATTGACTACGCCTGAAATAGTTTATTGTCTGCTCAAAATTGGTAATCAATATTGCAAAATTTATAATTACTATTAACTTGTTACTTCAACTCGGAAATTTAATTATGCTCTATATATTACAAATTATTGCAGTCTATTATAAGTTTCAAGGCTGTCAGGTCTATGCAAGTACGTACATAAATAACTTGCTATTGCTTTGACGCGATAATTCTATTAGCACGTCAAAAAATTTGGGGGCTATACTTCTTCATAAATATTCCTATGTTTAAATGACATCAAATGAGTCAGCCGAGGCTAGAGTCGAAAAGAAACACCTTGGATTGTCGGACTTTTAGTCTTCACTGAATCCAAGTGAGTTGATAAGCGATACTAAAAATTAGAAACGCATATGTTAGATAGTTTATAGGATCAATATGTTGGAATTGTAGTACAAACGTTCGAGCAGATATCTACCAAATAGTAAACGATGAACCTACATGCATTTTATTATGTTGAGTAGATTGATAGGCAACGATCATGTCTGCTGTATTAAAGGCCCATGATAATGATCCTGGCAAGATATATTTACCATTACTAATATTTCACACTATATCGATGCAGTTGTGCTACAAGTATAAATTTTATCAAACAATTAGCTGATATTTTAATACCTATATTACTATTAGGATAGTATATAAGCGATAACGCTCCAGCTAGCTTTCTTTCGTAGCATGCTAACGCCGGTGCCTCTAATTGATAGTATAACAATATAACGGATGTAAGAGTTAATTTATAAATTGCAAAGAATAGAAAATTGAACTTAAATGACTAGACTGACGTAGAAAGGTTTCTATAAATGTTTTCTCTAATGCTCCATGTAAGTCTTGTCTACACATATTAATCAAAGCATGTAAATATTAAATAATACACGATTAAGCGCCATCATTCTCTTTGAAACGACCGCCTGAAACTGCAATTATAAATAAAGTAAGGGTAACGGTGTCGCTTGTCTTACTGATTTAGAATTTCGTCACAAAGTTGTTTGGCCAGGTTTGTCCTGATAATCTGCTCTCCAACACCTAAACAGATAGGAATAATCACATTAAAGTCTCGCTAAACGGACTGCTGTATTCACGTTGAATAATTCAGTTATAGTTAGTGATACCTGTTGTAGTCGCAGCGACACTGCAGCCGTGACTTTCATGACCGTTATAAGCACAACATCCAGCACCGTAGATTGCAGACTAGCAATGATTAAAGATTTTAAAATAAGCATTACACGATAAAAATAGCCAACTTTACTTTATCATAGACTAAGAACATGGTTATGTGTATTTCCAATAAATAGTGTTGTACTTTCGAAGTAGAAACTATTAGCAGAAAATAGAGTTAAAAAATTGTATTAAATGCTTTTAATACACGCCAAGCAGAACAGATTACTTGTCCAATTCGGCCAGGCATTTTAAATTGATTTCCTCCACTAGAGGCTGCTACAGCAATTTGCCCAGATGAATCAACACAGATAACCCCGATTGTATCTTGAATATCGTCCTAGAAATTAAATAATAAATCAATTTACTCTTAACAATTAGTATATGGTAGGCTTAGCATACCTATTTGGTAGCCAGTGTAGCAACCCTTACCGAACATCCTATACTTTCGTTAACTGTAGTTGCGCTTTTGAGCGAAGCAACCATTTCCTTAATTTTAAAATATTTTTTCAGAGCCTTATCTAAACGACGGAAAAAGGTAGAAGGAATTATAAGGGCATGACATTTTCAGTACAACGATACGGCAGTACTGAGAAAACACTATAATTAATTAAATTTTATAGCAGTTATAAGAAGCCTTTGGATACTATGTACAATCTGCGAATAGTACAAGTATAAAAATGAATGAAGCACTGCTGCTGATTCTTTATGTGTTCATACACTGTATCGTGAAAGTACTGGGTATATCATTAACACTCATAGTAAGATAGTTTCGTAGTTTAAATTAACGTATCACACTAATCGTCTTAAATTGGGAAGATCGATGATCAACTATAGTGTAAATACCATACGTAGAGCGACACTGGGAAATCTTGCAGTATCACCAATACAGTGCATGGTCTATATTTGATACTATACGACTGCCCTATCCTAATATGAACGATTTGATTTTATAGCGTACAAATAATCCATGTGATGATTACAGCGATGTCAAGAGAAGCCCTAGGCATACAGATATACTTGTATACTGGTCATAAGCGTACTACCATTAAAGACAGCGCTAATTTATCCATAAATAAAGCTACCGCTAATCAATGATTCCGGAGGAGCGTTGTGGATACCATTCTTAATTGCGAAATCTCTAGCTCCGTCACCTGTTAAAAGACTATTTATTGCATAAGATTATCATAATGGTGAAGTAGTCATACTAAGAATATTTCCAAGTGATATGCTAAGATAGATGCACTTACAGGGGTGATATCAACCCTAGCCTATGACGATTATTACTGTTACGAAGAATTTCAAAGGCAACTTGAGTAGGATTTGGAATCCCTTTGTACGGTATGAGACAAGCGGAATAATATTTAATTAGCATACATAAAACTAATAAAAACGATTAAGCTAACAGTTAAGGCTTAATATAAAATGCGTCTCTACATATGTTAATAGACCTCAATTTGCAAGACTTCTTGAATGACAATGCAAACTTGAAGCTTATATTAGAATCTGATCTTTACTATGAGACATTAACTGCAAAGAATTTATACTCAGATCTCCGCACATTACCAGATACACAACCGACAGCTCCAAATGCCAAACTCTGGCCGTCCATGATGCTAGCATCGCACTGAACAGCACCATCAGAGTTCAATGCTGATCCCACTCCTGCATTAACAACACCACATGTCTGTAACAGATAGATGCTAATTACTCGAAGTGTGGCTATTTCTATTACGGATATTTTTTATGGACATTTGCATATTTAACAGTTACAACTTGTGGAAATGTTAAGTCTGCTATCCTTCCAGCGAGGTGCTAATTACATCATCATGTTACAAGAAGATTGATCAAGCAGAAGTCTCACCTCTAACGATACCATAGCCTCTGTGACTGCCTTTGTTACTGATTTTTCAGCACTTAACGTGCTTAAAGCCTGCATATCAATATAGCACAATGATCATTGGTAAGTGACTTTAGCATCGTTTTTCCTAATGCAATGTGATGCTACAGAGTATTATACTACACAATATCGTTGCATGCTATTGTAAACACCTTTGAGCAAGCTTCCTGACTAATTCGCTTGTAAATCGGCCTTAAGCTAGTTTGGTGTTTGCCAGCGCCTGTACATGATAAAGCAGCTATTTTATTAATTGATGAATGTATTTCGCCATTAAAAATGATTAAAAGTAGCTCGTTTATTCATGGTACTGTAAAGAACCGTAAATTTTGATACTATTTTACAGATATTCGTATGATAATTAACAAGTACACAATATCCCATGCCTACTTGAATAAGCGCAAGCACAATATTGCTATTGACATTGTAATGCAATAGACGCGTATTGGATGATGAAATAAAATTACTGTACTGTATAATTAGTTGACAATATTATCAGTGCAAGCGCAGAAATAAAGTTAGTATCTTATCCTGTTTAGAAAATAATGTTTACTTTACCTAAATGAAGCGCAACAAATCCTTGATAATCCACCCCGTATGAGTCATTTATATCTAATGCATTCTAGACGCATCACAGTGGATGAAAGAGTTAATAAAGCGAAACATTGCTACGTACAGCTACTGCTGCTGAAGTCCACGATATTTGCAGAATGAGGCTAAGACAAATCTATCAACCTAATACAGTACATCGTTAAAATCTGTAGAATAGGACTTTACTTACTGCTGCCATCTTTTAGATTACTTGTATGCTTATTGGCAGAGTCTTTCAAGGAAGATTGTCTCTAGCTTACAAATTTTTCTCTAGATGCTGCTTTAGATACGTTGATGCAAGAATGTTTACTCTAATTGGTGTCCAAAATCCAAGAGTACAATCTCCGCAAATGAATAACCTTGTTTCTTTCTGTACACCTAGTAACCTGCAGTCATTGCTCAAGCTCCATCAATTCCCATATATGAAACGATAGGCTTGATCAAGTCTTGATAAATGCATTAATGCTGCAATGCTACTAAATTACAATTTATAATTTACTAGTAAGTCAAGCTATAAGCTACCAGCTCTCTCTCTCTACTACCGGCAGCTTCTTACTCATCAAACTTCTATCAGCTAGGAAAGTTTGGCTACGTATTTACAAACCCGAAGCGTTCGTGATGTACCTGCCAATAATAATCATCCGGTGGAGGAACTATACTGTATATGGCTAGAGAGCGGCCGGATGTTCCGTACTGTACAGTAATAGTATGACAAAAGGTCAATTGATTGCATAGTGCAACATTTTACCTCGATGCTCGAGCTGCTATGGTAAAAATGGCTGCTGGAAAATTGAAATTTATCTCAACCGACGATGGCAATATTGCAGGTCGAAGATCGAGTTGACACTCGTAACTATACGTATCAACTCGATAGCGATATTATCCACAGTTGAATCCTTACAGATGCTATACTACGACCTTACCAGGGTTATAAATCAATAACTTTACACAAGTTTTGCCAACAGTTCTTTACATAATATGTACAAGACTGTATAGTATATAACAATATATTTATGCAGTGGTGCAAAAGCCCCTTAAATTTGTTTGCTGATTAATGTAGACAAGCAGAACTACAACGATCGAATGCAATTTGCTGTTAAGGCATCTAGCATCATTCAGTATTTAAAAGTGCTAAAATAGAACGCTCAGTTTCGTCATCGCGGCGAGGTCAGTGCACGGTAGCGACCCTAGGATCTACAGAGACTAAAATTTTGGTGTAATAATTAATTTTTCAATTCAGGAGCCAGGTCGAACGGTAAAATAATAATTCTGGCAGATTTCGAATTGAATATTAAGCAACAGACTGCCAGAAATTTCGAATAGTCCGTGGCTGTAGTGTACCTACTATGCTCTACAGTCCGCATGTCTGCATGGCTGTAACTCTCATTATAATACACAATATAATAGTATAATATTGAACTGTAAATTATAATTATTAATATGTAATAAACTGATGCTTTATTACCAGCGAGTATTAATTAAAGATCTAGATCGACCTCTCTCGAATTTCCATCAGCATTTCGTGTCCCTTTATACCCTCAACAGTATTGGACAGATTTATTCAAACTATCTAGATTATTCTAGAGTACAACCGAATTTCTATTATCCATATACTGAGTAGAAAGCGGCGTAAAGAAAATCTCAAAGGTCGATCGATCATGTCTACCCAAGTTCTTAAAGTTGGTGTATTAACAGGTATTACGTTCCAGATACTAAATGTATGGAGCTGCATAACTGTGGCCACAGCTAAATGCGATACAATCGTCAATAGCAGTTTAACTATAGCTATTAATGAAATAAAAATTACTTTACAGTTAGCGATCGTTGCTCTAATGGTAGTGCTGAAGATAAGAGTGGCCCTAACTTAATACGAATCATTCGAGAAGATGGCAGGTATGCTAGAACTGGTAATCGTTGTGCAAACGTCAGCAGTATTATTGACCATGGGTTCAGTTTTGCTGCAGTAGTGTTTGTTGTACATTGACAGTCAGTAACTACTCTGTATCGATTCCAAGTTTGGATAAGCTAGCTGAAAAAAAATGGACAGGACCCGATCAGTGATGCAATTACCTACAATATGATTAATTGAAACGCTCATCATTCTACAAATGTTCTTTCCGTAGTTTTGGAGAAAATCCCAACATTGTTTACAAATGTGTAGCAGATGAAGTAGATGATATCAAGGTTAGTCTGACCTGGAGGTTGGAGGATAGCTTAATTTAGCATACTGTACGTGTAATATAACTACATGCAGTTTAAATCCGAAATAGGCAGTAGTAGGATGGAAATTGTTCGATAGCCTACGAGCTATGCTAATAAGATAATTGGCAATATTGAAACAAATAGATAATAATATTACTACGTACAGCATAGAATACGCATATGTAACATCACATTAATAACATTCATAACATTCATTGATGAGCATTTCAATTCCCTGTTATGCCTAGGCCGTTCTGCTAGATTGGTCAGATAATGTAAAGGTGCACTTAATCCTTACTACAGGTGGTACGGGATTTGCTGCTAGAGACGTCACACCTGAGGTAGGTTTATGATTTATGGTTGGTATGGAATACCTCTGGTTCGCTATATTAAAATTCTGTATTATCACAGGCTACAAGTCAAGTCATTGATCGAGAAGCACCTGGATTAGTTATTGCAATGATTACCAAGTCACTCAACGTAACACCGATGGCCATGTTATCGAGGTATCGAAGCTTACTCTGTAGCATACGTATATCCGCAGTTACAGCAGCTACTAATTAATATTTTTTGTTCATCGATCACATCAGCTACGATTGCTGTACACATATACCTAGTATTATCAAAATAGATTCAACTAAACCATCAATTTTGATTCTGTTAGACCTGTTTGTGGCTTCAGAAAACAAACCCTTATAGTTAACTTTCCTGGCAGTATGAAAGGATCTCAGGTACTCTGAATGACATACTTCGATGAAATATAAACGGGAAGACTAACGCTGTCTAAAACTCCAGCAAATTGCAAAGGCTTTCCTAAACAACATTGTCTATTTGTAAAACTTCTCCTATAGGAATGTTTTGAATTTATTAAACCAGCTCTACCCCATGCACTTGGTAAGATTCATAAAATCGTACACAAACAATATTGATCACAGTGACATGCGTATTTATGTGTATTTATAATATATTTGTTATATTGCGTCTTTTTCTAATATACCTAGACCTTATCCAAGACTCATCTGAACGAGTTGTAGCAGCACATAAAGAAATACAAAGTGTTGAGGTATAAAGTAGATATAGTAAAGGAACTGTTATATCCATTACATTAACGGGTCTCATTGTAGGGTTCGGTATCACACACCTGTCCTCATGGTCGCCATCATAAGCATAAAACCCAGGAACAAATGGGAGATATGCGTACAGATCAGAAACAAACACGATGTAAGTAAAAGTTTTCTGTTTAACAAATCAGCGAAACAGTAATGTAAAAACAAGTGCAGATAGTTGCAGCGGTACCGAACGTATGGCACTAATTTTTAAATTTTTAACTTTAATGATAAGCTCGTGAGGACTTTTATAAAGTAGCAGAACGGGCTAGACAGTCTCCATTTCCAATGTTACCTGTTCAAGAAGCTATAAAAATTGTGCTAGAGCAGGCTAAATCTGTTGGAGAAGAACAAACCAAGAATCTATTAGGTTAATTCTGTTTTGCAGCAATGTCGTGAATTGTAAACGCCCGCTTGATAAGAGTGCTGTTGTACGAGATATTTATACGTATTATAGTATATGTGAAATTTTTCAGCCAGAAGCAAATTAATAACTTTGATTTCTGACGGAATAGACGCTCATGGACGTGTTTTAGCAAGCGATGTTTACGCTACAGATCCTGTTCCCCCTTTTCCAGCATCAATCAAAGATGGCTATGCTGTGGTAGCGGCTGATGGACCTGGAAAACGTTCCGTTATTGGGCCTATCACTGCTGGCGATATGGTATTTAATCTCTAATATCCGTTGCCATTATAGTATCGTATTTTCGCTGTTAAAACATTGTTTAATTAGACGTATAATGAATGATAACAACCTTTTTACAATGGAGGTATGCATGCAAATTGTAATTTAAATTATTTTACTATTTTAACTTTTACCGACTCAGTCCGATGTCAGAGTTAAACCTGGCTGTATTGCGCGAATTAGTACTGGAGCAGTAGTGCCAGAAGGTGCTGACGCAGTCGTACAAGTAGAAGATACAGAACTCTTTCAATCCTCTGATGAGGTTATTACTATCAGTTTTTGTATATGCTACCTATACTGCAAACGCCTACAAAATCTATACTTTAAACACCATTTCAATTATATTTTGGGATCTACACATTATATGTAGGGTGCTGTCGAGCTGTCTGTTAAAATATTATCAGAGCCAAAAGTTGGTCAAGACATTCGTCCTGTTGGCTTTGATATCAAAGCTGGAGAAAAAGTTTTATCTGCTAATGATTACATTGGCTCCGCAGAGTTAGGAATCTTAGCAACTGTTGGCTGTACAAGTGTTAAAGTTTATAAATCTCCCTTAATAGCTATATGCTCAACGGGTAACGAAGTAAGTTCATTATTGTTTGATTTTTACGAGATCTTGCGTATCCATATGTGGATTTAAAATATAAATCGAAACTGTAGGTGTGCGATCCTGGTGTGCCCTTAGGTGTCGGCCAAATTAGAGATAGTAATCGTTTTAGTATCATTAGCCTGCTAAAATCCGAAGGCTTCGAAACTGTAGATATGGGAATAATAAGAGACAGGTCTGTTCAAGATATATGATTGTTATTGACCGATCGTTTTTGAAATTGTTTAATATGTAGTTGAGCTTTTATCAAATTAATCATTTGTACATTTATGCTGTATTAATATACAGTCCAGACGAGGTATCTATGAAATTTAAAGAGCTGCTATCAAAATTTGATGTGATTGTTACTTCGGGTGGTGTATCAATGGGTGAAAAAGTGAGGATTTTATTGTCAATTTCGTGAAGATCTTAAAATGGGATTAAGTTTACTATTTCATATTTTATAACTTAAGGACTACTTAAAAGGTGTTCTCCGCGGTGTACTCGATGCAACGATTCATTTCGGACGTGTTTTCATGAAACCAGGGTTAACGAAAATTAATTAGCACTAAAACTGCCTTGTTATAAGTGAACTTTAAGATTTTTTATGTACTTTTTATGCGATTACCAGAAAACCTACAACGTTTGCTACGGCGTCATTTAATGGAAAAACTAAATTAATATTTTGCCTGCCTGGTAAAGTAGTATTATTTGTCGAGTCGTAAAATTTGATAATTGGATATAATGCATGGAAACTGATATATAGTATATGCAATATCTAGGCAACCCAGTATCTGCAGTTGTAACGTGCCATCTGTTTGTAATTCCTGCATTACGAAAAATGGCCGGATATTCACGACCTCAGGCCTCTATCGTCAAGGCTAAAGTAAGAAATGACTGTATATTGTAATTTGCTACCATTAACGTACTCATAGCTATATTAGCTAATAATTTACTAGCACATAATAAGTTTCTATTACGTTCTACTAATACTTATTAATCAAGCTATTGAAATTTGATTCGTAGTCTATTGTCTCAATTTCTGTTTTGTTTTGATTTTAATTTAGCAGGCAGAACGTAGTTTGAGTATCATATTAACCACTTAATACTGATTTTGTGCCCTTATGTAGATACTATAAAAATTTGTTAGCTAGTCGTTGATTATTGATAAGCCATATTTTTCGTCTGATGTAGTTGGGATTTGGAATAAATTTGGATGCCCGACCTGAATATCATCGTACTGTTTTATCCTGGCCAAGTCAAGAAAATCTACCAATAGCTAGTACTACTGGTAGTCAATGCAGTAGTCGTATTACTAGTATGCGTAGTGCTAATGCCTTATTAATGTTACCACCAAAACAGGATAACCTGAAAAGGCTGGAGATTGGTAGTATTGTTGATGCATTGATGATTCATAAATTGTAGTAACTCTGCATTTTAAATATATTTGACTGGTAATAATATGCTTATCTACTTATATCTTTATTATATTTAGTCTTGTACCTTTATATTATTTCTTTTATAATTATTCATTCCTAAACTTCATGTTATAATAAATGATAAAATTGATTTATTGTTGCAATGGCGTTATGCTAGATGATTCATATTATCTGGAGATAGTAGTGTCGGTGTCGAATATTCTTAATCTATAGACCGGTTAACAATACAATCTGAATGACGTATTGAAATAATAGCACAAGAATAGAATTTGGCTGGAGAATATTGACATTGTCTATTGTATTAATTGTTTGTTTACTGACAGTAGAAGAGATTTTCATTGAAATTATCGCATTTATTATTGTTGATCTATTGGAAGCGTCAAGGTGGAAGTCATTCTATTTTCAAGGAAGTCTCTCTCCCAATCGGCATACCTATTTGATCCGTTATAGATATTCAATCTTAATCTAGGCACAATATGGGCTAGATCTTTGAGCCGGTAATTATTTTACTTTTACTAGCAATTTGGTTATCAAATTAGTTTTGATTAAACTGGGTCACTTATTCGGAAAGATAGCTATACGTAGTAGTCATTTCATGTTCAAAGCTAGAATAGGTGATGATGTATCATTCTATCTATGCTTCTGTAAAAGATTTATTATTAATAAAAAGTTACGTCGTTGGTTTAAAATATATCAGAAGCATATAGAAAAATTTAATTTGGTAAGAAAATGTTTGTATTACTGTAGTCAATCTTAGTAGCCTCTGTAAAATAGATGAAAGTGATATAGAGATTAATAATAGCCCCATAGATCGCAGCAATTTGCAATAATTATCTTTTATTGCCTATAAGATCGATATACTGTACAAAATAGATTTAATTTGATTATTTGGAAATTAGCGTATTTTTCAATATGTTATTTGAATAAGAGAAACTTGAAGATTCTTCTTCACTAAAAGGTAACCGAAAACTGAGCCTTGACCTTCTACAATTTAAAGTCATCAATAGCGCCATGGACGCTGCAATATAGTCATCCATTAACTAGTTTGCACGTTGCATATAATATAGCATTGACAATGGAAATAATCTATTGTTGCATCGATTAATATTATTGGTGATAAAATGTTGATTGATGACGATATATAGTATTAATTATTGTCGTCATCATCACCAGTTTATATAGTATGTTGACCATCGATAGAGTTAAAAAATCGAACAACTCATAGGAGATACTTTGACCGCGATAATCAATATACACAGCACGATGTAACAAATAGAATTATTCATGAAGGTATTGTTTTATATTGTTATGATTGAGATGCATATATTAATCACTATGGTAACTCAAGCTAGCTTGGTCAGGGGAACTTTTCAACATTGACTTTTTTAATATACGATCGATAGCATTTTAAGATTGATTAATTGATCTACGTTTTATCAACGCATTAAATCCTATCATTTGGTTTTATATTCCTTGTTGCCAAATAAATCGTTCTTTAAAATCGAATTATCTATATCGAATTGGTTGCAACGGTAATAACGAACAGAGACACTATTAATTAGATCATCAGAAATCGATCAGTTCCGTTTAATTAAATTGGATTTGATCTTCTATTGTCGGCCCTCTTATTCCCTACCAGTCTTTAAAGTTATCGCATTGTGTACAATCGAAATCGCTGATGCTAAATCTTGGTAAAGATGTCAGTTAATTTCTCTATTCATTAACATTATATTGGTAAATTTACAAGAAAAACCTTATAGAAACGATGCAAAGTAAGTATATTAAAATTATTTTAATGGGAAAGCTTATGAACTAATCTTTGCAACTATGATAATAATATCTTTTCGTATTTTTATTGCACAAATAAATGTCTCTAAATTCATGTTTGAATACTTGATATTACTGTGCTACTTTACTTAGATTATAGATTACTATCGAAAAAAGGAGAAGGTACCTTCTCAGAAGTATTAAAATGCCAGCATATCAAGGAAGGCACCTATTATGCGTGTAAGAAGATGAAGCAACGCTATAACAGGTAGGGATATGATTGTGAACGTGAGTAGGAACATCGGCAATGACATATTAAAAACTCTTGCAACAAACGGAAAGCTGTGAATGATTTTCCAACTAATGAAGAGTAATATTAAACGACTACTTTATAGTTGCTGAAAATTTCTATAGCTATGATAAGTGTATTCCGTCATGCTATTTTAATCGATTTTTGTGGTAAAGATTAAACTTACAATCGAAGTCTTTTTCGGTTCATAAGCATTACATGGTATACATGAATTTACAATCAGTAGTGCGACATATTGATCGTGATTAGCCGATTTTTATATTCTAAATTCATCTACGTGCTATTTGCAGTCCTAGATATTCATCTATTTAAGTTTATTGAAAGAAAGGGATAATAGCTATGTTAATCGATGCTCTAATGTCGTAAATTATCATCGCCTCCATTATAATATTTTATATACCATACTTAAGAGTCCTTACCCTAGAACCGGTGTTTAATGATATCTCCTCGTGAGGTATTAAACTATTTACTTGCCAGTAGATGATAAAGTATTCAAGCTAAATGTTTATCTACCGTAATTGAAACGAGCAACTGCATTAGATTAATATTATTTATTTCTACGAAAAACGCTTTAGTGTAGCATATCACAAGAACATCATATTTATTACCGTATCCTATTCTTAGCACACTTATGCTGTGATGATAGGCTCTCAAATGATTACTTGACCATTATCGTAAGGCAATACTTAAAATATCATATTGGGAAAGCTGAAGGTTGCAGCATTACGGCAATGTTATGGCTATTAGATTAGCCATTATAATTTGTAAAGTGCATGTTAGAGTGATATATCGATATTTTCAATCGTAGTAGTATTTCTTTGCTATTTTAGTTTAAAATTAAAGTATGATATATATTAATAACTTGCGATGGATCAGGTTGCAATTTTATATAATTAATGAGAATTTCTACTTTAAATGATATATAGCACGGAACAAGTAAATAACTTGCGTGAAGTTCAAGCTCTACGACGATTATCATCCCATCCCAATGTTCTTCAATTAAAGGAAGTCGTCTTGTAAGTTGTGATTAGCTTTTTACTTGATTTATACCCGTCTCTGTGTAAATCAAGGAAATCTTGATATATTGACCTATTAACCATGGTCATGCTATTAGCATACTGCTAATGATTATTAACTGTCATAAGACATTTGATCAGCCATAAAAGCAAAATTAGCAATCTGTACTGCATAGTTACTTGTCAGTAAAGCTTGCCTTTATTGTGTGTTCAAGGTACTAGTAATGGCTGTCGATTAATAATGAACTCATCTAATTACTTGATCAGTATGATAATTGTGATGGAGGGTTCGATATCTCAGAGGATTGAGATTTAGTCGCCATTTACAATTATTACAACAAAGGGTTTATAAAAGTTATGCTTTATTGTAGGTTAGTAATGTGAAGTACAGTGAGGTAGTTACGGTAGATCAGCGTGCAAGCTGTCGTGAGTAACGAGTAGAAGTATTAGATTGTGAGAGACTAACTAGAAGACTAACTGAGAGGCTAATGAACTCTGAGGTAGAAATCGCCGGTATTTATAGTTTTAAAGATGGAGCACACGCAGAGAATAGGATTGTGGAATTAGATACAACATATACCATAACAGGTTACAAAATAGCAGATGATTATAGAAAACAGCGAGTACCGTAATAACTAAATACAGTAGTCTATATATGAATGTAGAGTAAGAGGACTGTAGATCTGTCTAAATATAAGAGCAATACAAGATGTCTATATTTAAGAGTAGAATATAGTTACAGTATATTCTAAATACACTACAATAATGCTCAATATTATCGATTTATTTTCAATTTTCCTCCATGATGTCATTTAATGAAAATACAACGACTGACTTTTATTCCATAGCCCTCAATTGCAGCTGCAATGCAGATTGAAATTGACGACTATTAATTACTCTTTCTGTCTCGCTACTTATTTTAATGAGATCTAGTTTCACTTACAGCTTATATGATAAGGGTTGGTCATATTTATCATGTCATTGCAGCATAAGATTAGAGATGAAAGATATTATAGCAGATAAATTCCAAATAATGCGATATAGTTGATTAACAATTAATTTGTAATGATTATTCAATCTCAATAGTTATTCTATCACAGAAAAATGGAGAGAAAATACCGTAGCTAACTTGATAGCCGCCTACAATATGAAATATTCAAATCTTATCTCATATTATACCCTCAGCATATGCTATGACTAACATAAGAAATTAGAAACGTAAAATAGTATAATCCTACATTCGGTAAGACTATATCATATACGTAACGATAATAACCCTTATTTCATACTTTGAGCCATCTTAATATCTCAGTTGATTTGATGGCACCTTTCTAACAGATAATTAGAATGATAAATAGCAAATATACCGTATATAATATGATTAACCAAACTTTTGCGCTGCTAACGCAAGCAAATTTAGTACTATGTCTGTTATTTTTGAAAGCGATTTCTACAGGACTGTATTATAATTATATTATCCTCTAGTAAATTTTATCATAGTACTATAACAATAATAAAAAGCTCTTCCTGTACATATTATTAAAGCAAAGCGTTGTTGATATGATAAAAATTTATCTATTACCGGGACTATATTGAAGGCTAACTTCGTTTCATAGAGAAATCTTTCAACAGTATCACTTTTTTATATATAGCCCTCTTCACTTGATTTAAGACCATAGTCTTGCATACCAATAATTTAAATTTTCTTTATAGTCTATTTATGGATAATAGGATAATTTAGAACGTCAAATAGAACGATGTCGTTATGACTTTAATCGCTATACTTAAGATTCATAACATTACACATAGGATAATGATCACTTTATTCACTTTGTATGATACACATTGACAAAAATACAGGGTAAAAAATCAAGCTTGCACGTTTCAAAGTACCGTATTGTTACATCCTAGAGTTATTATAGCTCTGGCACAACGTTAAAATGACTTATTCTAACTTTATTGGTGCACTTTTCATAATGCTATAGTGAGAAAAAAACTGGTTCGTTATGGCTAGTCTGTGAATTAATGGATATGAATTTATACGAGTTAATACGAGGTTTGTATGCAATCTTGAGTTATTTTTGAAATATCTGTAATCCAGACACATAGATTAACCTAACGAATCATTTACAAGCCACGATAACTACAATTTTTCTAATGGAGGATACTAACATGGACACATTTCTTATTCATTTAATTAATGATTGATAATTTAATTTGTTCATTCATTGACAGGTTTGCGCGATTATCTATCAGAAGATAAAGTTAAGAGATACATGTGGCAATTATTAAAATCGATGGACTACATGCACAGGTAAGAGGAACTAAAAATCTTACTTTTTTTCCGTTAGAGAAAGAGATGGAATTATGAATATCATTGACTCTAATCTTCACCTTAATCATTAATCTTAGCAGTAAATTATTTAGCCAATACTTATAGATATTCTTTTAAAGAAAACTGATTAAATAGTACGTTTACTGGTTTAAATTACTTTTAGAAATGGCATTTTCCACCGTGACATTAAGCCTGAGAATATCTTGTTAAAAGATAGTCTTATTAAATTAGCTGATTTTGGCTCTTGCCGTAGTGTTTATTCTAAGCCTCCTTATACAGAATACATTTCAACTCGATGGTAAGTCAAAATACAAAATTAAAACTACTGAAATCAATTTCAAGATCACATTAATCTTGCCGTAAAATCTTGATCGTATATTAGTCTAGAGCGGTCTATCACCTTAAATATAGAAAATTCCTTCATTTCTATCATTTTTTCGACAATGTTGCAGGTATCGTGCTCCGGAATGTTTATTAACAGATGGCTATTATACTTATAAAATGGATATGTGGAGTGTTGGATGTGTTCTGTTCGAAATTATGACGTAAGTTGGCCTTTCTGAGCAAGTATAGTTATTTCCCTATCAAAATAACTATCGCTGTAGCATGCTTCTATTTTCAATATTTAATAACTGCTGCTTGTCCTTTAGTTTGCATCCACTTTTTCCTGGAGCTAATGAAGTTGATCAAGTTGCTAAAATCCATGATATCATGGGTACTCCTCCTGATCATCTATTGCAAAAATTTAAAGAGTAAGTTAAATATGTCTTACAGTCCTATCGATGGACCGTAACAAGTGATAGGAAAGCATTTTATTTTGATAATATGAAAGCCTGTTTCTCTGTAGAGTTATCAAATTCTTACTAGTACTACACACCAGTATTATTAACCATAATAGTTATTACCAGTACTGTAATATATTTCCTCAATAAATATTTACTGGTATAGAAAATACCATAATCTATCTGTTGGCCCAAATTAGGTTCTCTGTTGTGTCTCAATATTAATATTTGTGATAGTAATAATTAATTATAACTATTGTATTCAGTGCTAAAGATGAAGAAATTTTATGTTCGTATTAGACATTTTTTGACTAATTAAATGTTTCTCTACGCAGTAAATGCCATAATCCCAATATCAATTTCAACTTCCCTCATAAAGTTGGTAAAGGAATTGAAAGATACTTACCCCATGCATCCCCTGAATGTATTTCCTTAATTAAGAAATTATGCTGTTACGATCCAGATGAGAGGTTAACAAGTTCTACTCAATATTAACCTGATGATGATGTAAATTAAACGCTTTTATATTTCTTTGAATGAATTAGAATTGCCGGAAGACAAGCATTAAAACATCCCTATTTTAAAGAGATTCGGTAAGTATGATAAAATTATGTGATATAATTGTAAAGTAAAAGGGCAGTACGGCATAGTTGGCGGCTATTTCTATATTACACGTACAGGAAATTGCATGAGTTACTTACTGACTATAATTAATTAACCATTCTTCGGCTTTAGCGACAGTTTATAACTTAATCGGAATAGCAAATAATTGCAAAAACTCAATTAAATATTGGCTCTTATATAGCTATTTGTTTGGGTTGAATTAGAGAGTAAATGTTATTATTTTGTGAAATGTAGCGATGCAGAACGCCGTGCCGCTCGACAACGACGCGCTGAATTAGCTGCTGCAGCACTAGAAATTGAGAGAACCATTACTATTGGAACGCCACAACCTGATGAAGATCACCAGATACGTAAAGAAGAAGATAAAAACTTATTTAAACATGAATTAGATGAGCTAGAAAAAGAGAAAAGACAACGTAAAAAGGTGAGAGCGGAATTTAGCTTTTATTTGTTACCAATATCCTACTCATAGTATAAAGTAGAATCATTGCCATAAACTTATGAGGAATCGATAGGATTGCTATAGAAATAGAATAAAGTAAGCAACCAACCTTCATGCTGTGATTTTGCTAAAAATGTCCTAAATTTTATTCTTTCCTACAGCGAAAAGCCCAAAAATCGAAGCGATCTGATGAAGCTGGTGTTGTGTCACAGGTTAGACCAAGGAAATATACTAAGATTCCTATATGAGCAGCGTCTTTTATGGAAATCGATATACGAAGCACTAAAAAACTATACTGTAGATATTTAAATTTTCATTTCCATTATGGCAGTAACATCTTCATTTCTAGTTTTATAGTATAATGCTGGCATCAATTTTTAAGGTCAATACTGAGCTGGATACTAATTTCTAATAACGTTATCTTTGTGTGCTTATTTATATTTAGTCAACGGAGGATAGCATAAAGCCGCAAGCTAAACTACCTATGTTAACTCTAAAACATGCTCATAAAGGTCTTGAACAAAGCAATAAACAAGGAAATTTTATGTCACTACCTAAGATTCAAGCTGGTGCAAGTTTTGATACATATACTAAGCATCTTAATAACAATTCAAAATCTCAATATTCATATGGAATAACTCAAACTAAAACTATTCGTAATTCTCATCGTGTAAATATGAAGCCACAACATCAGGTAATTTCATATGGTTACTATTAATAGGAGTTGACTATCTTAAGCTTATTAAGTTATTTTTCACTGCTATTTTAAAGTACATTAGAGCTCGTTGGTAGAAAAGTAACTACGTTAGTAGAGCTTTGATTTAATTCAAAATTAATTTGTAGTTCTACTTTGGTATCATACTGTCTTTAACACTTAATCAATTCTTTGCCTTGTAAGCGCTAATATTCGTCCTTTAATATTTTACGTAGTCTCAAGTGTTACTAATGCCGCAAAAGAAGCAACATTATCGTCAAGGACTTAAAGGCCATAAACTGCCAGCTATTGATAGGCAATAACAATTATTAGTGATGTAATTTGAAATTGGCACTTGATCATTGGTCATGTTGATAGTACACTTATTTAAATCATTTTATGCAATCGCATATTCAAGCATAGATCTTATCTCGTTGTTAAAGGGCCAGTATTGCACAGCTATCATTAAACATTGCCACTTTAATTGTAAATAGGAATGTCATGCTATTTGTAAGTTGTAGGTTTCAGATATTTAGTGAAGTTTTCATTTCACTAATATAACATTATTGATATTATGAACATTTAGCGTCTAACGATCAATAGCAAAATAAGAGCACATAATGACAACTATTTTTCTATCCACTTACTTAAATAATAGAAATAGAATTTTAATATCGATATTCGAGTTTATGTATTGTCAATGTTTAAAACTGTTTGTTATTCAAGTCACGAGTAATCATATTGGCTATAATTGAAGTTTACCATTTTCGATTTTTCAGAAATCAACGGTTCATTTCGTTTCGATTTTTTAGCTTGACGCATTTTTGCGTACTTTCTATTAAATAAAGGACTAACTGAGATTCTTTAGAATCAGTCGTCTATTACATTTTATGAGATAAATACTACGCATATATATATTTGCTTTCTATTTTCATTTCTTTGTTTAGAATCTTTTGCACGACCGGCACTTATTACCCATAGGCTAATGTTAGCATGATATATAAAGCTATATTGAATATCTATACGATCGATGTAAATACGTACATTTATAACAAGTTATCGATATTGAATTAATAAAGAAGGCATTTTTAAATACGGATGTAGCCATAAAGCAGCCTAGTGGTAATATTGTTACAATGAGTTTTACTTGTAAAGATAGAAGTTATATAAGAGTAACAATGGAAGGGATATTCATAAAGTATTTTGACCAAGAAGATTATAAGATCTACATTTTATCACTAGAAATAAGTAACTACTGCATGTCACGGTACGAACTATCGTGAAGAAATAGATATCTAAATTTGGTTAATATAATATAGTGATATTATATTACAACTAGTCACTTACAATAGGGATTACTCTAATTATAAATGTGTTGCAGTAAATTTAATGCTGTGCTGTATTGTGCACTGAAATGATTCTGTGAATGGACATATTGTAGTCCGACTGTGAAAAACTAGTTAGTAGATGTTCTCACCTAAGTATTTTTATAAGATGACTTGTGAATGTTAGCTGCTGTAGAAGGGTATATAAGCCCGTCAGATAGTTGAATAAAGCAGTTCTCGATTGTATAGTTGTTTTAACGTAGAATCAAGAGG